GGTATATAGGATTTTTTTTATTAGTGTCTGTGCCCTAAACTTATTTTCACTCTTTTAATTTGTATTTGCTCGTATCCATACGAACTGACAATAACAGTAGTTTTGAAAGTGCTGCCCCTCTATTCTTATTTTCCAATTTGCTGTATATATGCGAGCAGATGTACTGTATGTACGTGTATATATATGTAGGACTCTAAAGTGCGATGGTACTCTAAAGTGCGATGGTCACGCTAAAGTGCGATGGTCTACGCTAAAGTGCGATGGTGTCAGACGCTAAAGTGCGATGGTTGTTTTTGGTTTTTTTAAGTGCAATCAGATGACACGCTAAAGTGCGATGGTATATGACACGCTAAAGTGCGTTGGTTTAACACGCTTTTAAAAGTGCGATGGTTTAACGGGAATGGGGTTCAGGCAATGGTTTTTGTTTTTTGCTGTGTTCATATTAGTTTTTCGTCTATTGTATTGTTTATAAATCATGCTGTTGTCTTTCTCTTTTGAATTGTTTTACATTAGTCATTTCGTGGTCCTATATAGCTACTATGCGACGTACGCCAAGGCTCCACGTTGAAGTTCATAATGTTGCTAGGTGCATACATCAACGACATTTGGTCTTTGGTAGATAGTTGTTTCGTTGACCATTACACCACATCTTCTTATTTGTTTTTTGTTTGTTTTGTATATAAATCAGTCCGTTATTTTTCTCGTTTGAATTGTTTTACACTGGTCGTTTTGGTACCCTTTGGTCGTTATAGAATACTATCTGCGGGGTTAGCCATACGGTAACATATAGTAAATTACATCAATGACATTTAGCCTTGGATAGAGACTTGTCTCATTGGCATGCCGCAATCATATTATGATACTACACCTCTGGCCGTTATGTTACTGTCTTGTTGACGAGTATCCATCTCTTTCACAGACATGACGAACCATATTGTAAAAAATTGTTTTATAAAATAATTCAATTAGAAAGTTAAAAAATAGCTTTTATTTCACGCAAGTAAATGACATGGGATTTAAAACATGGAAGGAGTTTCTAAATTAAATTTGGACGAATTAAATACTTTGACCATTGGTGTATTTTGCCGTTTTCGCTCTCTTTTACGGCATACACCTTCCCCTTACTATCGTCAGTTTCTAAGTTTATTAGAAGTATTCTTTTTCCAGTATCCTGACAGAAACACGTTTGTCCCCGCAAAGACAGCGGGATCAAAGGTTTGCATTTCTGTTACTGTGAATGATTTTTGGGGAAATAACTCCTCCGCATACAAATTCTTCTAGCACCGACCAAAATTGGAATCATTTGTTTCTCTTTTCGTGTCTAGTAAAAAATCTTTATCTGCACAAACATTCTCGTTTACCGGCATGTCCATTTTGTTTGTACAAACGGCGTGTAGCTTCATAATGCTATTTATGGTTGCAAACGTCCATACTTTCGCGGAAAAACGCACTTTAACGTATCGCAGCATCGGACTTTAGCGTGTTCCATTAAATATCACATACCATCGCACTTTAGCGTATCAAACCATCGCACTTTAGCGTAGGCCATCGCACTTTAGCGTGACCATCGCGTTTTAGCGTCCCCATCGCACTTTAGAGTCCTACATATATATAGCATGAGTTCGAATCCCGGCCAGGGAAGAACAAAAAATTTGGTTCCGCAAATTTACAGATCTAACATTGTTGGGCTGTTATTTAGACGAATTATGTATACAGAATGTGTTTTCAGCCTTGTATCACCATAACTGGTGATCCGATGGATAAAATCTGTCGTAGAGTTGTCATTTGTTCAGACGTCTAATATATATATATATATATATATATATATATATATATATATATATATAATTCGTCTAAATAACAGCCGAACAATGTTAGATCTGTAAATTTGCGTTAGCAAATTTTTTGTTCTTCCCTGGCCGGGATTCGAACTCATGCTACTGAGATATCGTGGCACCAAATCGCCTTGCACTATGCCCGACGCGCTAGACCACTCGACCACCTAGGCTATATATATATATATATAAACAAGTCTAAATTGAAAACAACGTTCAAACCTATGATTGCGTTGGATAAAAACCGCAATTTTTATACGTGTGCATGCAAAAACAAATTTCTTGGTAGAGGGGTCTAAATACAGCACAAACAACATTTTCCAAAAGACCAAAAAAGTGAAAAAGTATATTTTAACAAAACGCATTTGACTAGCAGGTCGAACAACGGATGTTCTTAACCCCTGCTGACTGCCATGGCGATTGCCAAATAAACGGATCACCAGATGTAACAAAATGGATCTTAATTATAAATTTAATACTAAACAGAAAAGTTTTGTTAAGTTATATATATATTTATATATATATATATATAAACAAGTCTAAATTGAAAACAACGTTCAAACCTATATATATATCTATATATATTTTTTTTTTCGTGAGGTATCACTTATAAACTACTGTTATTGTAAGATCGTATGGATAAGTGAAAATAAGCTGAAATATAAACACAAATTTACTAAAACATAATAACACGAGAGGAAGAATACATGCCCCAAGCGATTGTTTAATTTACGCCATTGTTTTTCTTTTAAAGAAAAGTTCTTGGTGCTCTCGTATATATAGCAGGGGTCGCCTAATAGAGTCATGGTCGGAATGTCGATACTGTCTCATCTACAACATCCCCGTACGTGTCCTCGATCTCAGAATGGAACCTCGATTACTTGACATTGTATCCTTCCTTAACCATGTTGATCTAAAATATTTTGTTTTCCCAAGTATTCGTGGATTACCACTAAATATAATATTAGAAGTTCATTTCTAGGAAAGGGATTCTGATAATATATGCGATATTGTTGCAAAAAATATGTCTGTGAAGGGGTAGGGATTCTATTCTTAACAACATAATTCACGTGTAACAGGAGGGGTTTTTACGTTTTGTGTTTTCTGTGTCATTTTCGGCATATTTATCCAACTCTTTATCTCTGTCTGCATAAAGAGTTCGAACCAAGAACCTGAGTCTCTGATCCTTCATATTTGGTTTTGAAGAACTTAACACTAGCAAGTTTTCATAGTTTATTAGTGAATTATAATCTGTCAAATTTGTAAAGATAAAATCATTTATATGTAAAGCAATTAAAAATTCACATAAAAGTAACAAAAATCAATTTGACATTCAATATAAAAATATGAAGATATGGTATGATTGCCAATGAGACAGCTCTCCACAAGAGACAAAATGTCATAGAAATTAACAACTATAGGTCACCATACGGCCTACAGCAATGAGCAAAACCCATACCACATAGTCAACTATAAAAGGCCCCGAAATGACAAATGTAAAACAATTCAAACGAGAAAAACTAACGCCCTGATTTATGTACAAAATAATGAACGAAAAACAAATATGATATTTAGCAACAAATGACAACCACTGAATTACAGGCTCAGTGACTTTGGACAGGCATATACAGAATGTGGCGGGGTTAAACTAGTTTGAAGACGCCGACCCTCCCCTAACCCTCCCCTAACCCAGGACAGTTGTGTAATAGTATAACATAAGAACAAACTATAAAAATCAGTTGAAAAGGGCTTAACTCATCGGATCGATTTATTTAAAAAAAAAAACACATCTAACAAATCACAGACCGGACGTGGCAGGATAAAAATACATCCCCACAACAAAAAAGACACTAAGTACAGATCTGAGAGTACTCGCAGTTACTGACAGCTAGTTCAAAGCTAATAACAACTAATTAAAAAAATCATGCATCTAAGACTCTGTGCCATTCTATAATCAGTTTCTGTAAAATAAACTGAATGTATTACTCATCATTCTTATCATTATTTCATACATAAAAAGGCGATATCTTTCCAAATTAAAATTAACATTTATTCTTGAGACATCAGTGTACAGTGTTCCTATATATATATATATATATATATATGAACTCTGTTATATAAGAAGTGATATATAAAATCACATTAAATAAGTATCAATGACATGTTATACATTGTACAAAATTAAAATTGACAACTTTACTTAACATTATTATTTAACTTATCAATAAGCTTTGTCTAGATACATTATAATGCAAAACAATGCCATCTTCTCTATGGTGCAAACGGTCATGTCTGTGCAAGCCCAGAATGCTCTTCTTAAAAAGCTAAAATGGTCATGTCTTCTCTATTCATATAGAAACAGATAGATCTATAATATCACGTAGCTCTATGGTTAAGGTTCAACTCAAAACTTATTTAACAAAAGCTAGATGAATAGAAACACTATAATTAAATAATAAGTTGCAAATTTAACAAAATCTGTGAATATATTCAAGGAATTATAGCAATAAAGTAACTTGGCTAAACTTGGCTGGCATTTTGGTATGTAAAACCAGCTGAGACATATAATACAGTAACTGTCTCTGGTAAAACAATCGTTCAGTGTATAAATGATTTAAATAAACAGTAATATTAATTTGTTAATTTTACAACAGTTCATTATAAAGGGAAGTAATATTGTTACCAAAAATAGGCTCTCCGTTACACACAGTTGGCTCGATAAGACCAATCACGCAACTGAGTGCTAAGTCAATCAACATGCGCTTAACTTAATTAAGACTGTTCCAAATGGATCCCCTCACCCTTCTATTAAGAATAAAAGAGCATCATATATTAACTACTGTTATTGTAAAATCGTATGGATTGGAGCAAGAACACGATACATAAGAGAAAATTAGTAAAAGTATTAAGAAATATGAGAAAGAAATATGTAGAAAAAAAGCTCCATTCCTCACTGCGCCTGTGAGTCAATCGTTAAATACGGTGCTCGTTATAACATAATTTCAGGTGAAATTATGTTGTTTCTTGTGTGATAATTCCTTTAAATATGACGTAAGGCCGTTCTTGTTTTAATGCCTGAAAAGTGCACATCTATATTATCCGGAACGCTTTCCATGTCGATTATGGATTTGTGTTTTAACATAGTATTTTCTTTGGTCACATGATAACAAAATGGCAGCGCCCACAAAAATCTCTAGTGTTTTCAGAAATGGTTTATTTAATGGGAAAGTGGCTATTGTTACTGGTGGAGGGACGGGTATTGGAAAAGCAATCACACAAGAATTGTTGTACTTGGGTAAAGATCAAAGTTTGAAAATTATGAATAACATTTACAAAAAAAAAATCTTGAAGTATAAAAATTTAGATGTGGTACTGGTATGATTGCCAATGAGACAACTATCCACCTACATTCATATGAAGTGGATGTAAGCAAACATATTTAACCAGACTTTAGAAACTGGGACAGTACCATCAGACTGGAAGCTAGCTAACATCACAGCTATCTACAAGAAAGGTGATCGCACACAAGCAGTCAACTACAGGCCCGTGTCTCTTACCTCAGTATGCTGTAAAATGATGGAACATATCATCTACGGTCATGTAATGTACCACTTGGAAAAACACAACATTTTAGTGGACTATCAACATGGTTTCAGACAACATCGCTCCTGTGAAATGCAACTGGTGAACACCATAGAATCAGTCGCACGATCTTTAGATACATGTATGAGAGAACAAGTAGATATGCTTGTCCTAGATTTCTCAAAGGCATTTGACACAGTCCCACACCAGCGGCTATTACAGAAAATGAGCAACTACGGTATCCGAGGAAATGTTCTCAGCTGGATAAGTGCTTTGCTTACCCAACGAAATCAACGAGTGTGTGTAAATGGTGAAATGAGTGAGATGAAAGCAGTACGTTCCAGTGTACCCCAGGGGACGGTCCTTGGACCCTATGTTTCCTGCTGTACATCAACGACATAGGCGATTCTATATCGCCATGTATCAGTCTACGACTGTTTGCTGACGACTCCCTCTTGTACAGAAGCGTCCACAACTCAGAGACATGCCAGCAGCTGCAACAAGATCTTGCACAACTCGTAGAATGGGCCAGACGCTGGCAGATGCCAATCCATCCAACAAAATGTTTCATCCTTAGGGTGACCATAATACGCAAGCCTGTTGTTCACAACTGAACTACAATATGATGGGGCATTACCTGGAAACTGTCCAGCACTACCCATACCTCGGTTTAGAACTGTCAGACGAAATGAACTGGGACCACCATATTTCCAAAGCAACATCAAAAGCTAACCGAACACTTGGATTTTTAAGAAGGAAATTAAACAAGTGTCCACAAGATATAAAAGAGAGCACATACAAAACATTAGTTCGACCTCACCTTGAGTATGCATCTGCAGTATGGGACCCATAAAAAAAGTGCCACATTAACCAAATCGAAATGGTACAACGAAGAGCTCCCCGATTTGTAACAACAACTTATTCTCGGGAACCAGGAACTGTTACCAACATCCTACAGACACTTGGCTGGGCAACCCTAGCAACACGCAGAAAAGGAGCCAGGCTCATACTCCTGTATAAGATCTTACATGGAGAAGCATCAGTCATCATTCCAGATTACATCAAGAGACCAGCCGTAACAACCAGACAATATCACAGAGACATGTTTTCAAGAGTCAGCACTTCAACGGATGCCTATAAATACAGCTTCATCCCCAGAACAATTGTTGACTGGAACCAACTACCTGAAAGTGCCATCCAAGCCCCCGCAACCGACACCTTCCGGTCTGTGTGTGGGAGTTCCTGACATAACTATGGATACCTGATTTTAACCCTGTACAGTTGTTGCAAACATCACATAATTTTATTTGTTTTTGTTCCTGTAAATACACGATAGTTTTTGTTTATTTTTAACTTGGCGTGTACTGGTTAACACACGCGCACAGTATATCTGCGTTATGGAATTTTCGACTGCAGATTAACCATATAGAAGTAGAAGTATATGTAGAAGTAAGCAACTATAGGCAAGCCTGTGGCCTTTAACATTGAGAATAAACAGCTGTGCCATGAGCACATGATACGCCCATTGCTTTTTCAAAGAATAAAGTTCAATAACTTCTCAATGTCATATCAGAAATTCATGAAAAACTAAAGGGAGGTTATCTTAATAGATATAAACCAGTCACCAAAGTTTCATGATAACTGCTCAAAGCATTGACCGAAAACTGAAAAATACCCCCTTTTTTCTAAAATTTATAAAAATCGAAAGTGAGCTTACGTCAATAGATATAAACAATTCACCAAAGTTTCATAAAAAATGCTGAAAGCATTTTTGAGTTATTGTCCTAAAACTGGAAAACCCCCCTTTTTTTAATGAATAAAACCCCTTTTACTCGGAAACGTAAAAGCTAAAATTTATAAAAATCGAAAGGGAGCTCATGGCAATAGATATAAATAATTCACCAAAGTTTCTTGCAAATTGGTGAAAGGGTTTTTGAGTTATTGTCCGAAAACTGGAAAATACTCCTTTTTTAATGAAAAAAAAACCCCAAAACTCGGAAACTTAAAATTTGAAATTTATAAAAAACGAAAGGGAGTTCACGTCAATAGATATAAACAATTCACTAAAGTTTCATGCGAATTGGTTCAAGCGTTTTTGAGTTATTGTCCGACATTTTGACGATAGACAGACGGACAACGGTATACCATAATACGTCCCGTAAACAGGCGTATAAAAACCCATACCATATCTTCAAGTTTAGAGAATCCCATTTCTATTAATTAAATATTTAGAACAATTTGGCAATAATCCATGCTTACTATTCATTTTTTAAGAAATGTATGATTATAACATATTCCAATTGCTCATTTTAAAAGTTGACTTGTGGAGGTTGCATGCGACGTTTCTGTAGATTTTACTTTTTCTAGTGAATCCTGCAATGGTTGATATATACTGTGAAAGTTTTGTGTATATTAAATGATATTTGACTAAGTTGAAAGACGTGCATAATGTCAAATCATAAAAATGCAAATTGTTTGGTCTCTAAAAAAACTTGTAAGATTTCTGCTGCTTTTTTTGCTAAATGGGTGCAATTTAGGTACTGTGACGTTATACATGTAACATGTCATAGCTAGCTATATAGATATCAGCTTCCAGACAAAAAATTTTAAAGTTAGAAAGGAGAATAATAGACCTCAAAGCACATGGACATAATTTAGCTTTTGAAAAATGCAGCCCCTATTAGAATCAATATATAAAGCACCTGAAAGGTAAAAATATATTTAGATATCAATTAAGAGTTTATGTAACTCAGGACAGACACATGAACATGTTGAGGGTTGACCTAGTTATTTTGTATTCACTTAATTTCAGTGAAATAATAAAAGGTAAAAGCACATACAATGACTTACATGTAACTCCATAATACTACCAGGTACAATACATTGTAGAAAAGATGGAAAAAAACACACGAACAAGTGAAATCATAACAAACTATACAATAAATAACACTGCTCGAAGTCATTGAAAGCAAGCTGAAAGTCCTTCAGCTGCTGACAAGGAATCAGGCTGACTATAAATATAATATCTGCTGCTGTACTTCCTAATATATTTCATATTAAAACAAATTATAGAGAACTTTAAGGTGGTACCCAACACCTGGACTAATATTAATTTGGCTCGTTTAATTTTCATAAAATTTTGACAAAATGTTTACTTTGACCCTTTGACAGAAATATAAAAATTTCAAAAAATTTGAACCAACCACTTTATCAGAAAAATTTCACTGGTTATATAGCAGTTTGACAAACACTAATTTTGATCACTGAGAAGCTTAATATTTCCTTAACAATACAACATAATTAAAACGTTTAATTGATTTTTACAGAGTTATCTCCCTGTAGTGTTAGGTACCACCTTAATATAGAGAAAATCAATGCTTTACTTTTGTTTTAAACCCTTCAATATATTACATGTAATAAGGTAATACATATTATTACATTGGTGGCATCAAAATACAAGGATATTTCAATAAAGTGACAATGAATATTTCACATGTGAGATAAACAAGAGAATATCATATGGCTTTGAGACTAAAACATCCGTACAAAACAAGACGCCAATAAAATCCCAAGAGCTCTGCTCCAGGTATTATATTGGTTGATGGATGATATGGTATGTGATATTGAAAAATTCATATCATATACATAATACAGATCAAGGGTTGGAGAAACAATATAATATGGTATTTCAAATCAGTTTTGATAGTATGATATTTAAGCAATATAACATCACATTACTATGATGCTGAAAAACCCTGAGGAGAAAACTGATTTAAAACCATATTCTAAATATATCCAATGATGTTTTTTTTTTAATATCATATCATTGAATATGATATAAGCTATTTGTGCTATAACAATTAAAATATTATTTTAGGATGTAATGTAATGGTAGCTTCAAGGAATGAAGAAAGACTGAGAAAGGCAACAGATGAGATGAAAAAGAATATCACTTCACCTGCAGAGCTAGATCACATGCAGTGTAATATCAGGAAGGAAGAACAAGTAATCTAAATAAGGATATAGGCTTAATGAAAGAATGTTGGTCAATGTTTTGTAAGAGAAATAACTTAATAAATTTTTTATTTTATATCATTTTCGAAATAAATGCTCAAAGTTTTATCACTCAATAAAATGTTAATCTTTGAAACCACTTGTCCAAAATGTTTGATTCGTGTCATTTCCTTTACCAGAAAAACTCTTTTAACGGTACTATATGCTGATTTCTAACATCATTTAAATGTTTTTTGGGCTAACTGGATCCTTGCATCTTTGAACTGACTTTAAGTAATTGTTCCTGCTTGACATTTTTCAAACACCCATCTTTATTCTTACATTATCATACCCTGCCTAAAGAAATGTATTAATTTTATCACGTTTAACATTAATTTAAGCAGTCAATAAGCTAATCATCCCCATTAGAATATTCATCCCTTTGCTCAACGTACTGACGTAGATTTTATACCCAACAAACGCACAAATGATGTCTAATAATGTCACCTAAAACCAAACACTCAGACAGAAAAATAATGATTGGAATCAAGCGTATTAGACACTAACTTTGCTTTATATCTAGTATCATTTGAGAGTATAGGTAAAAAGACTTAATTAATACAGTGTTAAATATGTTGACCATTAAATGATTTATATTATATAGTCAAACTAGTCTGACATATAATTTTCAGGTGTACAGATTTGTTTTAACATTTTTTTTAAATGATAAAATTGAACTCAAGCACAACTATTTCTTTAAAATTCAAAAGAATGGTAAAAAGCACAGATTAAATTTCAGTGAGACAGCAACTCCTCAATAAAAAAACCAACAAAAAGTGAAAAAGTGAAAATCATTTGGCAATGAGATGGCTATTAAAATGCTAATTGTTAATATATTTGTATTCAATTATGACTCTTAAAGAGGGTTTAAAATTTTATGAGATTTATTATCAAAAGAATGTTTTAGGTACAAAATCTGATATCAACAACATTAAAACGGTTTGGCAAGTTAGACTTTTTAATCAACAATGGTGGAGGCCAGTTTCCAGCCCGTGCTGAGTCATTTTCATTGAAAGGATGGAATGCTGTAATAGAAACCAATTTAACTGGAACATTTCTATGCTGTAGAGAAGGTATTTTTAAGGAAGTGCTTTTTTGGAAAATTTAAAACCTTTTAAGAATCAACTTTTTAACTTTTAACCAGGTTTTCCTAAGGAAAAATCATCCAATTATTTCTTACCATACATGTAAACTACATCTTTATCCAAGAAATACATGTAAACTACAGCTTAATGTAAATGTCTCTGAATTCCAAGAACAAAACTTCACCAATTATAAGAAGAAGAAAAAACAATTCCTCTCTAATTGTTAACTTTTAAATAACAACCAAAAGAAAAATGGTAAAGGAGTATCATAAGATGGCTGCCATTGAGGGTGACACCTTTATTAAGCAGTTATTAGAAGATGAGAGACGAGTCTATTCATTTTTGTTGTACTTCACAATTGCATTCTTTGATATTTGTTTTGTTATCTGTCACAAGTTTAATATTTTTTATGACAATATTTTTTGTTTATTTTTCAGTCTACAATCAATGGATGAATGACAATGGGGGAGTTATTGTAAACATTATTGCTGACATGTGGAAAGGACTTCCCATGATGAGGTAACATCTGGTTTTATGTTATCCTATATGCAAATGTTATTGTGAAAGAAAAGAAACTTTTCCTAAGAATCATTTGAAGTTTACCTGTCAATTTAAACTTTTGTCAGTTCACATGTCCCATTGAATAAATACAATATCTATTGTTCTCTGTGTAGGTTATTCACTAGACATTTAAATTTCTTCTGATAGAAATCTATCACTCATTGATTAATTTACCGGAGTAAAAAAAAAATATTTTCTAAATAGATGAAAATACATGTACATGTATCAAATCACAAAACTGCAAGGGATGTTGTATTTATTCAATATCAATAATATATGCTCAATCTGTGCAATGTAGTCAGTGATTCAAACATTAAAAATTGATTTCTAAATTTTTTTTTATCATTGTTCCTATTGAAATTGCATTTTTTTGTGATTGTTTAGTTATAGAATATGTTAAAGAAGGCCTTAATCTAAACATCATCATTTTCCAGGTTTATTTGTCAAACACTCACAAGAAGAAATTCAAAATTTTGTCAGAAATCAACTTTTAATGTTTGAATCAGTGTTTATATTGAGCAGATTGAATTTATATTATTGATATTGAATAAATACAACATCCCAAATACAGCATCACATACAGTTTTGTGAGTTGATATGTGTATTTTCATCTACTTACAAGATATTTTTTTTCTGTAAATTAATCAAAGAGTGATGAATTTCTCTAAGAAGAAATTTAAATTTTAATGAAAAGTTAATTATTATTTCATACTTTTTAGAAGGTATTTCAAATTAAAGAAAATCTAAATTTTGCATTGCAATATTTGCCAGCATTTCACCACCTATTTCTCATTTCAAATTCAGTCTGTGGCACATTAATGATTAAAATATTATGGTACATATAACCATGATTAAATTTTTTTTTAATCTATTATAGTCACACAGGAGCAGCACGGGCAGCTGTGGACAATCTGACAAAATCTTTGGCATTAGAATGGGCAGAAAGTGGAGTGAGAATTAATTCTGTGGCTCCTGTAAGTTTAAAGAATAGCAATTCTTTACATAAGAAATATATGTCTTTTATTATTTAAAGTTATATTATGATAATATGATATAACTGTGCAAGTAATTGTACCAATGCTTTTCATTAAATGAGGTAACTGTATGGTAAGCCTTTTTACTATTTATTCTAACTTCAAGATATCTCATATAATATATAAGATATCTTATATAATCTAGTTTTTGTAAGATATTTTATAAACTTTATAAGATATCTTACATAATTTATAAAAACTTTATAAAATATCTTATAATTTGTAAGATATCTTATATACTTTATAAGATATCTTATATAGGGATATCTTATATACTTTATAAGATATCTTATATACTTTATAAAATATCTTTTAAAGTTTATAAGATATTTTATAAAGTATATAAGATATCTTATAAAGTATATAAGATATCTTATAAAAGTTCTAGGTCACACTGGCAAATGTATGACAATTGAAAAAAAAAAAAATCAGGAATAAACATTATCAATCAGTCATAAGTGCTAAAAGGCATACTTTTCCTATTATTGAAATATAGGATATGATGTAATTTCTATATAAAGGAAAATTTGAGTTGCTACATAGAATTGTTTTTTTTTTTTGCTTGTTTGAGGGTCAATGGAGCAATTACTTTTCATGCCATCCTTTATTTATTTGTTTATTAGTTTGATATATTTGTCAGTCTTTTTAGAGGGTTCTAAAGGGGTAATGTACTTGAACAAACAGTAAACAAAATTGCCAATTTTCAATAAACTAAAAAATAAATAAATGGAGAATGTGTCCATGGGACACAGATGATGCCCCTTCTTTCATAAAATGTCATAAAGGGACATAACTCGAGCCACCCTTATTCAAACTTGATCTGTTTTTTGTGGTAATAAGCATTGGAAACAAGTTTCATAAAATTTGGTTGAAGGAAACTAAAGTTAGAGAACAGAAACCAATTTTTGGACGTATGTACAGATAGACGGATGTACAGACGGGCAAGGGTAACACTTAATGCCCCCTCCAGTGACAGTGGGGGCATATAAAAAGCTTGCCTGGTGTTTTTTTAGGAGTCTGGTGTTAGTGGTTGCTGTGGTATGTTGTACTGATGAGTATTTTTAGTGATTCTGGTTATCCTTTTATGTATTATTTGGTTTGACCAAGCTGTTGATTGAATCAATGGCCGTCCTCACTAGATTTTCATGCAGACATTTTCCTCATGATGTACATCATAATAACAAAAATATTTTTTACAGGGAAGTTCCATATACTCTGAAACAGCAGCAGCAAATTATGGTGACCCAAAAATATTTGCATACAATATACCCAAAATTCCACTCAAAAGACTAGGAACTGTAGAAGAGGTAATATGGAAATGACAGATTACTTTTTTCAAAGCAGAATATGTTTTCTTTTTTTCAATTGAAAGGGATGAAAAGAATTGTGAAAATTGAATATAAATAAAGGATTTATTTAAGTGTATGATAACTAATATAGTGTATATATTTTTCTTCACAGATCAACAAATATATATTATGCAATAATAAATACATTAGTTTAAACTATATTTGTATAAAATATGAAGTTGAAAGATGAACGAAGGAACATTTTTTGGTTAAAGTAATTGTAAAAACTTATGGAGCTTCATAGATAGTTAATGCAGACTTTTTATAAGTCCCACTCCTAATGTTGCCATGTTGGTGTGCCCCCAACCTTTTTTTCAAAATCCTGGATCTGCATTTGATTGCTTTAGTGAAACTATTACATATAAAAACCTGCATATAGGAAGTGACCCCTCCCCCCCCCCCCCCAAAAAAAAAAAAAAAAAAAAAAACTGAACCAAGCTGATATGGAAAAGTCCATGAATTAATCTGTATTTTATGTAGATAAATATGATTTTTCTATCACTATTTATAGATTTCCACTTCAGTATGTTTTCTCCTGTCCCCTGCATCAGCTTATATAACTGGTGAAACTATTAAAGTAGACGGAGGAGGAAGTCTGTATTCAACTATGATTTTTGATATACCAGGTATATATATATATCTTTATTATAGAAGAAATATAAAACAGCAGGTCAAGCTCACATCTTTTCTTGCCAGGCCACTATACTTATAGGTAGAGAAAGGCCTTTGGGTCCAAATAGTTATTAAATTGCTTTATATCTGTCTTATAAATCATTTCAGTTGAGGTTCATAAATTTGAGTTTGGGGTTATACAAATATGTTATTCATTTGAAAATACAATATGAAAGCTAATATATATGGCCAAAGATCATTCATCAGGAATTTAAAAACAGACTTTTGCATAAATATTGGATGTAAACACATATAACAATCTTGCTATATTTTCTCACTGTGTTGAAGACCCATTGGTGGCCTTGGGCTGTTTTCTACTCTTTGGTCAGATTGATGTCTCTTTGACACATTCCCAGTTTCCATTCTCAATTCTATTGCTATATGCTATACATGTTTGAAGTTATTTAGCTCTGCATTCTGAATTACCTTCATCCGAATATTAATAGCCAAAAATGTTAAAAATTATGAGGAGAAAGGACATAAATTTCCTTAACAAAACCATATATCATAAACTTTGCAGAAGGCAATTTGACCCTTTTTTTATTTACAAAATTAACGAAAAAATGAACAACTTGTGACAAATTTGACAATAACCTCAGAGACAAACTCACTGGATTTCTTTAGTTAAAAATGTGTTTATTTAAGAAAATCAATATCAGTTGGATGTAAAAGAATTAGTTCAGTTTGCTTGGTACTTATTTTTTTACATTCAAAATACTAGTACATATACTATAATTCAGAAATGTTTGTGAGTTTTTGATAATGGTTAAATTAATTTGGAATAGGTTTCATAAAAAAAAACTATCATTTCAAATTGTGATTACATTTGAAAGATAACTGTATTGTAGTTGAAGCTTTGCAACCGTCCATCGGTAGTATTACTGTCACAAAGTAAGTTTACCTGGTAACTCCTAGCGGCTACAGGTAAAAAGATATTTTTGACAGTAAATCTACAGACCGGACGTCCACAAAGCTTCAAATACAATACAGTTATCTATATTCTAATGCAAAATAAACAAATCATTCAATTTTAATCATTATATTGGTGTTAAATTTTCATTAAACGAAAATTCCACGAAATGACATTATCTTTTTTGGCACCAAAACTAGGTTACGTCATAGGTATGCTTCTGATATCAAAAGTAAACATTGGGCATATTCTAGCTTCTTGTCAGCCTCAGAATGTGATAAAATTTGATAAAATGATGATTTCTTTGTGCAAAATGTGAGTTTTTTGCCTATTTATATTGGAGAAATTACATGTCAATTCATTCTGGAATTCAAAATGTCAGCTTCCTTCGTTACAGACAGGGAGATATAGAATTTTACACTGATTATCATCCATTCAGAACCATTGATACAAGATGATTGCATTAGAATATTGGATTGTATCATTTCCTGAAGTTGCAATTATTAATCTCACATTTTTGTTGGTTGAAACAGTTACAATAATAAATGAATGCAAAAGTTTGTGAATTTACAATATTTGTTCAATCCAAACACAAAATATTATCAAGTTCATGTCATTAAATACACTACTTTCATTGTAGATCACAAGAAGTCCAAGGCATATACCTGGAAAGATGACGAGAAATCCAAATCTAAATTATGAGATACAAAAAAACTGAAGACAAACTATTCAAATTTACAAACCCTTTAAGATATATAGGTATTCAGAATTTTTTTTTTATCTCAGGTTGTATTAGTTAGTATTACAGATTTATTTTTTTTTCATTAGAGTTACAGAATTTGGTCATGAAAAAAAAAAATTTTTCACCACATTTCATACAATACTGTGGCTTCATTATTATTTGTGGGATATATCAATTCATGTACTTGAGGTGTGAAAAGAGATTTTATATCTGCTTTAGTTTCATGTCTATCTTGTTGCTTAATTGTAAAGGCACCAAGAAAAGTAGGTGTTTGGTATGAGACAGCAATCTGACCACAATTACAAATCAAAAGACATCACATATGGAATTCAATAATAGACAAGTATCTATACAAAATGTCAAGTTAACCTGAATGAAAAAAATAAAATGAATACATAACTAAAGACAACCAGTGATGTGGTTTTTGGCTTGGGGTCGACACATGAACATTTGGCAGGTTATAATGGTCTTTTTATGTCTTAATTCTGCCTTTTAATCTTGATGGGTGGAATTAATGTAGGCACATACCTGTATGCTCAAAAAGGATGGTTACATTATGAATTATGAAATTCTTTGATTTATTTATTCCCTTGTATATCACAAACATATTTACTAACAGTGGGGACATAAGGAGACTTTTTCATATTGTTTATAAATATGTGTACGAGTATTGATGTTATATATTTATGATTGACTGTGATTAAACTAATTTTGTACATAGTTATCTTTTATACAAATGATAATAAAAAACATTAGTACTTAGTTGTCAGAAAGTTATTTCAATGAATATGTCACCAAATTTTCATTCAGGTTAACTTGACATTTCGCAAATGATATCGTTGAAAGATACTACAAGGTAAAATTCCTTAACAAGATCTTAAATAAAATGTAGACATTTCAAAGTAATCTATCTATTGACTTAACCAACTTTCTTTGTCTTGAATATTGTAAAGTAATGTCAAGAACATTTAATGTGGTGCATGCTAAACAAAGAAAAAACAAGTTGAACTGTGATCTATTGCTCACCAATAATACACCCATAATTGTACTGTAAACAGGAAGTTGATGAGTGGTGGATGTAAAATGCATCACACAGTAAAGCATGCCAGCATGAAGGTTGATTCCAAATTTCAAAAAGTCTAGATTTGTAATTCCTGAAAGGAGCATGACAAAAATTTCATGGGATGGACAGAAACATAGACAGATGTAAACCAGTATACCCTCACTCCTCTAGGACCAGGATATAACTAGAAGAGTTACACAACCACTGTAACAAGATTAAAATCCTAAGGACAGTAAAATACAAAGATGACCTCATCCATGAGAAATCTTCCTTGTCCAAGATTAGTTGCTTAAAGAAATTCTGTAGTGTTCAACAGTTAACTTTATATCATCCACCAATTAAACCCCAGTGAATTGGCTTTCAACAACACACAGTCAAACTTGAACCTATCTTAATTACACCCACAAAGTTCTGGGGTCACTCTGTCTATCTTAAAGTCTTGTCTGGTCAGAACTTTTGAACATCTTGAAGGATATTTAATGATATTTGGTATTATTATTGACCACCAGAAGAGGGTGTGTTGTTAATAAGGTTGTAATGTCAGGCTGCATAGTCAGGTTGTAATGTCAGGCTGCATGGTCAGGTTGTAATGTCAGGCTGCATGGTCATGTTGTAATGCTGCATAGTCAGGTTGTAATGTCAGGCTGCATGGTCATGTTGTAATGTCAGGCTGCATGGTCAGGTTGTAATGTCAGGCTACATGGTCAGGTTGTAATGTCAGACTGCTTGTTAATAAGGTTGTAATGTCAGGCTGCATGGTCAGGTTCACAAACTTATTTCAATTATACATCCACATATTCATATAAGTCATGTTCTATCATTTGAATGCCATGAAAAATTTGGTTAGTAATGATGCTTGACATTATTATTGCCCACCACTAGAGTGTGCTGTGAATACAATTTGAATGTCTCTCTGCAAGGTCAATGTTAATACGATGTATATCAAGATGGATAAAAGGGGAAGGGTATCATTTTAGTAGTTTTTCTCTCAGTATCTGTAGTTCAAACAATTATCAATGCAGACATAGATGTTATTCTTTCCACTGGAAATACATTGGAAGTCATCAAGGTTTCTGGTGTTTCATTTACCTGTATTTGTAAAAAAGGTTATTCAGATATCAATCCATTTTACAGTGGAATGGTCACTCCTTACGATCAAAATTATTTAACACTTATGGCAAACTTCTTGGTTCAATTTCCTGGATCCATTACTAAAGTCAAGAAAGAAAAAAACCAGGAAGAAACACAAGCTTGATTAAACTGGAAACTACTAGACTGTTCAAGTTTGAGTATGTCATAAATTAAGATCACATATAAAAGTCTACATATCTATTTTATTGCATTCAAACATGTACATCTTAATAATTTCAAGCACCCGTATGTAAAGCTTTATACAAAATAAACTGTGAAACTGAGTGAGAAAAATTAATTAACAAATTTCTATATTTCAATGTAAGCTATATAAAACTTTTCCAATACTGTCGAGAAATTTCAAATACAACACCTGTTTATCAAAATGTTCATGTATTGTCATGATTATCAAATGTAATAGAAAGTTCTTTTTATCCGTATTTACAATCCTTATCACATGATTACATATTTCAGTAGTTTAAACACTCTTATGATGTAAGTATCATCATAACTGAAGCTCTCTCTCTTCTGGAAGAGGAGAGAAATACCATTCAACTCTTTGTGGAGTCACACCCTCTATAACAGCTGGTTTCCACTTAGGACTTTGGTCTTTGTCTACTAAAACTGTAGGAAAAAAAATCATGAATTACATTACAATGATTTTCCCCTATCAACATGGTTATTTAACACTGGAAGTTTTGCTCAAATTGTTTCTGTAGTGTATTCAGCATGTATCGTCTAAAAAGGTTCTTAGAAATATCTGAACTGAGTTGTAAACAGGGCCAGTGTCATATTCAGATTTGAGGGTCATAAGTGATGCCTACCAAGCAAAACAGATGTTTATATATGACTGTCAAATCCCAACTTACACAGGCAAAGCTTTCAACACAAGACTGTTATTTCTATTCAAAAAGAATACTTGTAAAATGTTCAAAATAAAACATTTGGACTATCCCCTAAATGTTTAATGTGATTGCGCAATACAGTTATACTGTTCTCAAAGAGTTTAAGACTAAGACCGTCAAATGTTGACTTCATCCAATCAAAAGTGGTGTTAAATGTTATATTGGATTAGAATTAATATTCCATCATACAAAAATTCCTAGATAAGTAGATTAATGCAAATGTGACTCAAGGTTGTTATTAAAAAGTTTTTCAGTAAAAGTTTAGCATTATTTCATAGTTTTTGTGTTAAAATTTTTAACATCTCTGTATCTATTCTATCACCAAATTATATATTGGTCAAACAGGATTTGTATTAGATGATTTAATAAATCTCTCTGAATCAATATTTCAAAATAAGGACTTTAATCTATAGCCCTTTCCAATTTATTTTTGAACGATTGAATTTTACATTTAAAATTATGACTAGAAATTAGTTATCTCCCCTTCCTGGCGGAATGATCTGAAGCAGATATTCCTTGTTACTTTTCATGAAATATTTGATTTGTATAAGTGTCTATAATTAGCTACTGACTGTTTTTTATGGTCATATATTGGTATCACGTCGTCGTCATCATTAATTTTGGGGGTTATGGTCCCAACAGTTTAGGAATTAGGGGCCAAAAAGGGGCCCAAATAAGCATTTTTCTAGTTTCATGACAATTACTTGTGGAACAGTGTATGGATTTGTCTGAAATTATACCACAAGTTTCCATACCACAAAGGGATGGTTAGGATTGGCTTTCTGGGGTTTTTTGGCTCAAACCGTTTAGGAATTAGGGGCAAAAAAGTGAGAAAAAACAAGGGTGTCCTGGTTAATTGACTATAACTTAAGTACAAATTACAGTGTAAGGGAGGTAATTCAAACACAACTTTGAATTACCTCCCTTACACTGCTTTTAAATAATGTATTTAAAGAAATGTTGTATTGTCTTGAGGTGATTAGCTGTCAATTCATTTTCAGAAGTTACTATTTTAATCATTTTAAAAATGCTGATTAAGGTAAATTAATTTTAGCTGTGATTATGTATGTCATTTTCTATTTTAAGACTTTAATGATGTATTTAAATGGGTTATTATGGTTGCAAACTCCATTGGAAATTTGAATTGAGATTATGACCATGTCTTGAAGGAAAGATTTTTTTTTTTGGAAAAAGGGGGGGTAAAAAAAATTGGTGGTGGTGGTGGTGGGGGGGGGGGGGGGGGGTTAGGGGGTAAACAAATTTTTTTTGAAAAAGAAAGGGGGGGGGGGTAAAAAAAAAATTTTGGGGGGGGGAGGGGGGAGGTCAATTCGCAACAGCATAGTGTATTGCACAAAAACGAAAAATTGAATATCAATTCAAATCATATAACCAATTCTAAGTTCCTTGACTACAGTTATTCTGTATCAGAAACCTATTATGTGTCAAATATTGAATTACAATCCAAATTCAGACCTATATCAAGCGCGAATATTGTGTCCATTTTTGCCCCAACTGTTCAGGGTTGGACCTCTGTGGTCGTATCCAGCTGCGCTCGGCAAAGCAATTTATTTTTGTATAATATAAATTAGCTATTGAAATTCTTTTTTTTTTAATATACTTCTAACCAAACTTGATTATAAAGTTAAAAATATTTATATATATAAAAGTAATAATTAATTTCATCTCATATCTCCTCACTGCTCTCCTCTGAAGTGAATCAATAGACCACTTTCAATTCATACACTTTCCTGTAAATTTCCTATGTCACAATGCTTATGTTATTACGTCACAGAAAGAACTGTTTCTGGATGCATTGTTTACACCGATTGACCTCTGGTCAACCAGTGTAACTCATTCATAAGCAAGAGGCTGTCAGAGTGACAGCAAACCGGATTTTCCTGCAGAGGTTGAACCCTGAACAGTTGAGCAAGTATGGACACATCATTTAAGCTTAAAACAGCTCTGAATTTGGATTGTGACTGAATATTTGACACAGCATAGGTTTGTGACAAAAAATGAATGTGGTCAAAGAACTGAAAAATTTGAAATTGGACATTTACCTATAATGGTCCAATATCCAAAATCTAAGTACATTGTTAGAATCAGCATATCAAAGAACCCCAAGAATTCAATTTTTGATGAAATCAAACAAAAGTTTAATTTAGGACCCTTTGGACCTCAATGTGGACCAATTTGATAAAGGAGCCCAAAATCCAAAATTTCTAATTACATGGTTAGATTCAGCATTTCAAAGAACCCCATAAATTCAATTTTTGTTGAAATCAAACAAAGTTTAATTTTGGACCCTGATTTGGACCAACTTGAAAACTGGGCAAAAAAATCCAAAATTTAAATACAGGTTTAGATTCAGCATTTGAAAGAACCCTATATATATTCAATTTTTGTTGAAATCAAACACAGTTTAATTTTGGACCAACTTGAAAACTGGGCCCAAAATCAAAAATAAATCTGTCACTCCAATTATAATTTTGTTAGTTGATAATTACCACATGTTTGTTAAAGGTAGAAATTATTTTATGGATAAATTAATTGTAAATACATTGTCCTAATCCAAATACATGTAAAAATGTGTACATTTACCGGTAGTGTACATTTAGTTAATTGTAAAAATCTATTATACAAATTGTGTGTAGTTTTATAGGTCGAATAAAAATAGATTATTATCTAATGAAAATGATATTTGCAAATCTGGACCCCCAAACAGGACCAAGTAAAAAATAGTTGCAAATCTGGACCTCCAAACAGGATCAAGTTAAAATTAAACATTAACACACACAACAAATAGAAAATACCACATAGCAACTGTGACATCTACCTTCAAAATACACAACTTTAAAAAAATTGTTATAAAGAAATTTTTGACAACTCCTGACTAAAATCAATTGAACAGATACAATCATTGATAGACTTATAATTTACACCATTTCTGTTCAAAGCGAAAAAACTCAAAAAATAAAAACAAGAGACCAAATTACATAGAAATTTACACCATTTCTGTTCAAAGGGAAATAACTCAAAATCATATAAGAATAATTTTGCTACTTAAAGGTCTTACAACTCAACAACAAGAACAGATAAAATTGTGAAAATTGAACTTGACCTTCATTGTGTCACAGGAAACAACATATCTTAATTTGAAAGATTTCGTCAAAGCATTTTCATGTTAATGAACGGACACTGTCTGGCAGACGCCCTCCCGCTCGCCCTCTGTACATCCCCAAATCAACAACCGATTTTTCTTTCGAAAATCTGGTTAAAAACAACTCAATATTGGTGTTAATATAATACATCATTTACCTAGTTTGTGTCATCTGTAACTCAACAGTTTTTTTCATCAATAATCAAACTTTGCACATTGATACATAAAGATGTGCACTGCTGATTTTTGACATAAATTATATTTTTCAGATTTCCCAAATGTGGAACTTCATCAATTTTTTAAATTCAATGCTTAAGAGGTGTTTGTTTCATCTGTAACTCCCAACACTTTTCCTTCAAAATTATTCAAAGCAGCATTGTGCAACACAAATCCAGACAGCATTGGTATTGTTAGTGGGCTTTGATAATGTTTTTTTTTTCTGAGAAAGAGCTATATTGTATTTTTTTTATGAAACTTACCAGCTCTAACCCCTTCATAGAAATCGTGGTCCTCTATACATCGCTGACTAATTCTGTATTCCATGACAAGACAATCCTGTAAGGTCATTGTTTCTCCTTCTAGCAGCTGACGTAATGTTACTTTCATTGATGTTGGCGACTGTAAAAGATACAAGCTATCCACATTAATAAGAAGTAAAGCAAAAAAGAAATTTGTTTATTTTCTAGGATAAAATTCAGCAATTAAAATGGCTTATGAAGTTTTGCACCATTAAATACAATCCTGTTAAGTTAGAAATTAACGCTTGTATTTATTATTGTGAATCCTTGACCACTGGCAAAAACATGAAATCTAGTTAATGCAATTGCAGAACTTTTATGAAAGATAATCCAACTGAAATTATGAATGTGAGTTTTTATTATTGCGGACTTAATACTGTCGCATTTTTCGCATTAATAAAAATATCACAATAATTTCTAAATTTTAATCATTGCCTTCTACTAAGCACCCAGCATATGCTAGTAAGCTCTGATTCAGAGTAGTGTGTCCAAGTAAGGTTACATGTCTTCCTGCAAACTATTACCTTGCGAGGCAACCAAATTTTGTCAGCTTGAAAAATGATCCATGAACATTTCAAGAAAAAAGGCAAACTATTTTTTCCCTCTTTATGATTGATTGATTGATTATTTTGTGTTTTAATGCCACTTTCAGCACTATTGGCTATTTCTTGGCAGCCAGTTTTAATTGGTGGAGGAAGCTGGAAAGAACAACCAACCACAGGCAATAAGTAACTAGAAAGTTGTCAATATCCTCTACTTCAACAATAATTGACTCGCCTGCAATGGACTTTGTTTTACTTTTTCCATAATTAAAGGCTGTGTCAAGGTAAAAAATAAATTGAAATTTGTGATTAGGTCAGTTTAAGGAGAAACACAAATAGTAAGTCAATGATATTTGGTATGCAGTTTTATTAACGTTGGCACATCTTTTTCATTGACTAAGAGATTATTTAGCCAGGCCCCATTAGTGATGGTCCATTGACTTTGAAACCTGAACAGTTAACATGTTTTTGTGATTAGGTCAGTTTACGGGTAACAACTTATGATAAGTCATTGAAATTTATTATAGTTGAGACATCTCATTTCTGTGAAGATTATTTGGCCGTGTTCCCTAAGTTAAGGTCTATTGGGTTTGAAATTTTTTTTACATAGACTGCCTGTGTAAGTGCTGCTATTTTAATTTCAACATCTGCATTATACTACCAAATTGTAATCATGAGAGACATATATTTTTGTCAAAAGTTTATTGCAGATTTACCAATAATCTGGATGCACTAAACCCTAACCTTTTGAAGACGTCTTTATTTTTCAATGTATATTTCCAGAATAAATATCAACTTTGACTTTATGTCTAAATTTCAGAAAATATGTAGGATCTCTACTACATTATGTGCCCTTAAGCATCCTCCGGTCAATTCATGTTTCAATATAAATCATGGATATCCTTATTCTGTAGGCAGCTAAAGACTAGCATTATTTTTACCAATAAATATATGTTTTTATGAATGATGTGTCATTTTCTACTATTTTCTTTATTTCCAACAATTGCAAGGAGCTCTGCTATATGATTTTTATAAGAATGTTTTCATTTGAAAAAGTTTAATAGTTTAACTCTATGTATATCACTTGAAATTCATTTACCATTTTCTTTAATGTATTAAGTTGCGTTGTTGCCCATTCTGAACCATCTTGCTCTAAATTTTTGTAAATTTCTTCCATGGTTTTACCACCAAACAGTCTGTTAATCTTCTCCATATCTTTGGCAAGTATAAAATCTTTATCAGGAATATCTGTACTCTGTTACAATAATTCACAAATAATTTTCACTATGTCACTGGTTTTAAACATTTTTTTAAGAGGTATATTTAGAATCATATTAGTATATGGCAATTTTTGTGAAGGCAATCATACCTTTCTCAAAAATCATATTTTGTTATTGTTATTTCTTGCTCTGACAAGATGTGTCATTATTCAGTATTGGTACATGTTTTTTTCATCACTGTGGATAAATTTTTTGTAAAGCCAAATGAAAGATTGGTTTTTCAAGGAGAAATTTTGTGTTCTCATTGAATGAACTCCACAGAGAACAATATCTAGTGTATTCATTCAATTGGACAGTACACTTAGCAAACATTTTAATGGACAGGTAAACTCCAACTGATTCTAGGGAAAGGTATGATTGCCTTCACAATATATTGACGTTTCTTTCAGATCAATTAAAATTGATTCATATAACTATCAATTATTTTATGGATCCCTGTAGTTAATGTACATCATTCAATTTGTTTTTGGCTGCTATGGCTCTCTGATCATAATCCAGTAACAAAGTGGTCCTTTTTACACCACAATTAATTTGCCACAAAACTTCTTTATTTGAGAACTGCAGATTTTTTATGACAAAGATTCCTTTCTGGAAGGATAGGCTTATTCACATTTAGTAACCTTTTTTTTTTTGGCTGTATTATTTGGTACAGAATTATTCTAAATCAGAAGCTCTGATTCGTAGTTCTTGAGGAAATTGAAACCAAAATATTATGGGACGAACAAAAACATACCAGATGAGTTGGGTAAGGGCAAACTGAAATATGTTTAAGCCTGGCCTAGACCTAAATCAATATAAACCCACACCCATCTTATTTTTCAGGAATAATATTTTATACTAGAAGATCATTTCTTGGAAAAGGTGAATGACAATATGCCCTTTCAAAATCTAAAGTAATCTACCAAATACTTTTAACAAGGCTATATATTAGTCAACAACATCCTGTCCAATGCTGCAATATTTTCATTTTGGTGTATAAAAAAATTAAAAAGTCCATTTTTAGAATCAGGATAGGTATATTGTCATGTACCTTGTATCTTTATAAAATAAAACCACTCAACTTTTTATTGACATCATGGCTCTTCATATATCATCACATAAACAAGAATGCAAACAGGAAGTAGGTGTCTAACAAATTTGAAAAGTGCTCACATGTTTTAACTCATCACTGTCAAGCTGCTGAGCAAATATAAAGTCATTCAGTTTAATAGTAGCTGAGAAAAGAGTGAAATATTTGATGGACGAATGGACCAGGAGAATGCAATATAGCCCCACTCCTAGAGATTGGTTTAAATAAAGCCCCCCCCCCCCACTCCTAGAGATTGGTTAAAATGTAGCCCCCCACTCCTAGAGATTGGTTAAAATTGTATAGTTTTTAAGGAAGTTCAAGTAATACCAACCTGCTTTGCATTGAACATTTGTACCTACATTTTTCTGAAATTTATCTAATACATGATGAATATCTTGTGTAGTTGGGTCAGGCATTTCAAGTAATGATTTTTCTAATTCTTCCATCTGAAAAAAAAGATACTGTCTACAATGAAAAGAAATGCTATACAGATTAAAATTACTAGATTTAAGGGAAGCAAACCAAGCACATCCCTATTCTCCTTATAAAACTGGAAAACAAAACTTTTCCATTATCTTTATCAACAATAAAATGCAGGTTTGTAAACCTAACATTTCCAATTGTAAAACTTTGCAGGTTAGAATGACATGCAATAATTGCAGTTAAGAGATTGATTGATTGATTGGTGTTTAACACCACTTTCTGCATTCTTTTCTATATTGTGGTGGCCAGTTTTTATTGTTGGAGGAAGCCAGAGGACCTTGAGAGAACCTCCAACCTTTGACAGGAAAACTGACAATCCTAGTTAGTTAAGATAGGAGTTGATTGCACCTCCCACAAGCAAGGATAGGAGTTGATTGCACCTCCCACAAGAGGGGTTCAAATTCACAACCTCAGTGTTGACAGGCTAGCAGTCACTGTAAATAAACTACTTCACTCATTCGGCTGTCAAGGCCCCTGCAGTTTATAGAATTTAGCACTTATGCTTAAACTTATTACTGTATAGAACCATACAGTATAGTGGTTATTATTCATGGGATATTTCCATAGAAATAATGTGTAGAAATATAACATAACTTTAAATCTTCATCTAAAGCAAAAACTAAAGTAAAAACAAAGCATAAAACCACAACTGACAAAACAGATTTTTATTTTCTCAAACAAAGAAATTGATACCCATAAAATAAATCAAATTTATTCAAAATTATCTCCCCTTCCAAAAGCACCCAGAGCACAAGTTATTCTTATGGTGCACAAATAACACTTACTTTATTGTCTTGAACAAAATGTGTAGCTACTCCTGCTTTATAAACATCTCTTCCTTTTAATCTAAATCCTGTTAAAGCTAGGTAAATACCTAATTTACCCCCTAATCTAGGTAAGAAATGACCTCCACCTACATCTGGGAATAAACCTGAAAAATATATGAAAACATATGTTTGGATGAAACACCTAATTTAGTAGACTGCATCTCAGTATATGCATGAATGTTAAAATGAGTACATCACAGAAAGTCAAGCATTTATTATGTATGTTTACAGTACTCATGTCAATAAGTTTTAAACAAATACAATTATCCTATATATTAACATAGAAAAAAACATTCAATGTCTTGGAATGTCAAAATCATTTGTATGAGGGTTAAATACAGATGGAAATGTCATATTAAGAAGGCATTTTATTGTTATTTCCTTTTGTGTCCAGTACAAATAAATTTTATCTAAAATATGATATTTATAGTCTAAATACTGCAATGCTTTAAACTATTCACAAAATAATAAATTCACAACTTCTACATATTAATAACATCGCTAAAAAATCTTTATTTAGTCAGTGACTGTGTGTAATGATATTCATATGGTCAACTTAACCCGTCTGTTCATATAGCACTCTTAAAGTTAATGTACAAACCTATAGCTGTTTCAGGCATAGCAAATACTGTTTTTTCTGAGGCTACTCTGAAGGCACCATGTACTGATAATCCAACTCCCTGACAACATAAAAACACAGTTCTTAATCACATGGTAACTGTCACCAATTTGCCTTTTCAGAATCCAAAGCATTATGGGTAATATTTGAAAACAGGAGGCTCTAAAGAGACTGTGTTGCACACCTAGGTTTATGCGCATCTTCAACAATGGACTCTGCAACATTGTAGACTAGATAATTCATGACGAAATTTCTCTTTTTTGTTGATCCTGTATTGCTGATAATTTGATCTGTTTACATTTTTAAATTCTCTCTATTTCCTATAGTTTTTGTCCAAAACACAAAAAAGGGCTAAATAAAAAAAGGTCATTTAAGGGCAATAACTCCTTCTTCTGGAATGCTGTTACAACTTCATAACATTGAAGATTACATACTGTAAAAGTTTACGGACGACCACAACAGATGCCAAGTGATGAGAAAAACTTACTTGGTCATATGGGCTAGGTTAGCTAAAAAACACTAAAACATTGTGATTTTTAATAATTTAAAACAAAATGTATACACTTTTTGAGATTACTTTTTTAACCTTAACGTTAATAAAGCTTTTTAATCAGTATATATATGTTTCAAAACCATGCAAAATGACATACTATGGATTTATAATTTACATTTATTTTTATTGATACCAACTTTTGTGGATTGGGGAAAAAATTAATTTTCATTGATATCTGATTTCATGGTTTTTCCAAAGTCTTAAGAAAATGTGTCCTCCAATGAACATTTAAATTCATGGTTCGCCTATACCAATGTACCAATGAAATCCACAAAAATTGGTATCCAACAAATAATAGTGAATAGACAGCAGAAATCTGTGACAATTGATCTTACATTACTTACCCCACCCATTGTGATTCCATTTATAAATGCTATATATGGTACCTCATATGTACCTGCAATAAACTAAAATTGATTTAATACATCTGTTGAAGTATTAGTATGTTTGATTTTATCTTTCAAACCATTCATGTTATGCATGTTATCTGTATATTTTGTAAATGATATTTTTTAGAAGACGATTACTGTGGATTCATTTATTTTCGTGGGTACCAATTTTCGTGGATTGAGGAAAACTTGTATATTCGTGGGTATTTAATTTCGTGGTTTTGGCAAAGTCTGCATACATTCCTTTTGAAATTTGTATTTCGTTGAACATTTGAATTCGTGGTTCCCCTGTACCCACGAAATCCACGAAAATTGGTATCCAACGAATATTAATGAATCCACAGTATTTGTTGTTTTGAATTTGTACTTCTTTTCAGTCATATAAAAATAAGAAGATGTGGTATGATTGCCAATGAGACAACTCTCAACCAGAGACAAAATGACATAGAAATTAACAACGATAGGTAACCGTTCGGCCTTCAACAATGGGCAAAACCCATACCGCATAGTCAGCTATAAAAGGCCCCGAAATGACAAATGTAAAACAAATTGAACGAGAAAACTAACGGCCTGATTTATGTTCAAAATAATGAATGAAAAACAAATATGATATACAGCAACAAATGACAACCACTGAATTACAGGTTCCTGACTTGCGACAGGCACATACAGAATGTGGCAGGGTTATGTTTTTATTCAACAATCTGTTTCCTCGAAACCAACAAGAATCACATCATGGTTAATTGTTAAATGAATTCATACCAATAACTGACCACAACAGTAAACTTTCTTAGGTTATTTTTTTGGAAAAATCACATAAATACCTGAAGAAAAACTAAAAAATGCATCTGACGTGTCAAATAAAAGTAATGTCCAACATACTATTCCTCAATTTGGTATGAATACCTTATATGGTATTTTTACATGATTTTTTGTTCAATCAAAAGGAAGTGTTCTTCCACCAAATAAAGCATTCCATACAAATTTCATTGCTTTTGTATGACACATGACCGGACAAAGGTATACCATAATACGTCCTGTCTAAGACGGGTGTAAAAAAACCATGAACATCAAATGGAACTTAATGCTCAGATTTAGGTGTTAGAATTGACTCTAATCTGTCATGGACAGGCCATGTTAATTAATTATGTTCATCAATATCATCTAGACTTCATTTGCTCTCTAAAATCAAGAAATTTCTAAATATTGATTCAAGAAAATTATTTTATAATGGTTATATTCTCACACTGATACATTATTGTTGTATTATTTGGAGTGGTTGTGCTAAAAATGAGCTAGTAAGAATAATAAAATTGCAGAAAAGGGCTGCAAGACTAATTTTAGATGCTGATCCACTTTCCGCATCAGCACCTCTGTTTAAACAAGCTTGGGTGGATGACAGTATATTACAGAATCTCGTACCATAAATCTGTTTTGATGCAGAAATGCATTAAGAATGAAGCCCCTGTATACTTAACTGAAAAATTTAAAGAAATGCCAGAAAGTAACCAATATTGTTTGAGGAATATGTCTTGCAAAAAATTGCAAGTTTCAAAAGCCAAAACAGAGCTGTATAAGAAATCTTTTATATATTCAGGATCTATTTTATAGAATAACTTACCAATATCCCTGAAAAAATCGACCTCAAGTACAAGCTCATTCAAAAAAGATTTTAAAAGTTACTTGTTGGAACATTAAGAAGCTGTGTAATTTTATATCCATACCTTGTATAATTTTTCACACACTTACCTAAACTTTAAATATTGTTGAGGTAATTTGAATGATGCCAATACTATGTGAATTCATCATTTTTACTGGTTTTGAAAATTGTATATTTCATAACAATTTCTTATACGATTTTTCTTATGTGTGTGTTTGTTTGTTATTTTGTAATTTTCTGTTTGTTATATTTCAATGTCTTTTATGAGGGCCTCAGGGAAGATTAGTTTTATAGCTAACTGTGCAACCCTCTTTGAATAAAGAATTATTATTATTTTTATTATTATGTAAGGAAAACAGTGGAAAATGCCTCATAACAGCTACCATCAGATTACTGTAAACCAACTTATTCCCGACGATATTTCATTTTGCATTTAGCAAAGCTCTTTTCATCTTACTTCACACACATTTAATAATTTTCTTGATGTATTTATATAAGGGAAGACCCAAGTTAACATATTTGAGATAATTTATATGCGTTATTTTTCTACTTGCAAATGTTGCGAAAATGAATGGATGGCAACAATATGTTTGTAAAATAATCAATGCTAGTTTTCAACCTTTTTCTTTGCTTTTACTCTTCACAAAAATTGTTGAATACACGCATTACATTTAAGATGGTTTTGCTGTGTTCAGTCATTCCAAAGGTCGCCAGACATTGGGCAAAGACCAGTAAAAATTGGTTTGGTCCAGTTATGTGATATTCATTATTGGACCAAATGACCAGTAAAATTTAAAATTTTGTCCAAATTATATGTGTAAAAGTCTTGAAAAAAAAGAGTCTGGTCCAGTTAAGAAGAATGGTTTACTGGATCAAATGTCCAGTTGATTTTCTCAATGCCTTGGGAACCACTGTGTGTTCATTTATATAAAGAAAATATTAGAGGAACTGAGCATTAAAACATCAAACAATGAGGATAGAAATCACAAAAAAAAGCCAATGTTTTCTACTACATGTACCAGACATTTATATATACCTACCGATTTTATTATTTAAAATATATTCTTCTTTGAAGAAATCTTGTGCTAATCTGTCTCCTTCTTTTCCAGCTTCTGTAACGGCTGTAAATTAATATAAAATAAATATGGTTTAGTAAGTTTTATGTGACATGACTGCAGATGTCACAGAAAAACTTTCAAGTGGATTAAAATATTTAAATTAAAACAAATAAAGTTGCATCTATATATTTTGTTCTGATAAATATTAAATAATATTTACTATATTATTTTTTGTGCACCCATCAGCTGTGATGAAATGGAAATCTGTTCACATACAATAAGAAACCCAGTAAACATTTCATTTATCATGAAGAGCTACTGTAGTGGAAAAAATAATAAATTGGTTAAAACTCTGCTCTGATCAAGTGTGCCTTTAGGATAAATTAGACCAATTTGTTTCAAGTACACAAAGTGGGTCAAAGAAGTGTTTTAAAAATAATTTACAGATGATGACAATGACAAATAACAATGATCGAATACACTGCAGATCCATTGTTGACAGCGGAATAAATAGGCTCTTTAGGCCAAGTGTGCTAAAAAATTACAATGACTTCGAACAAAAATAAATCTTAACCATACTTTATTGTAAATTTTTGCAAGCATTTATTATAGACCTTATCGCTATCTGGGAATCTCAAACAATTGACCCAAGAATTTTTTGACAATTGAACTAATAATGTCATATAACAGTCAGTTTTCTTTCATGGCCTCAGACATTTTCTCTTGTGATGTAAAATTTTTACAGGAATGGCTGTGATGTCCAGTAATGGCTGTGATGTCCAGTAATGGCTGTGATGTACAGGAATGACTGTGATGTCCCCAGTAATGGCTGTGATGTCCAGGAATGGCTGTGATGTACAGGAATGGCTGTGATGTTCTCAGTAATGGCTGTTGCTGTCCAGTAATGGCTGTGATGTCCAGGAATGGCTGTGATGTCCCCAGTAATGGCTGTTGCTGTCCAGTAATGGCTGTGATGTCCAGGAATGGCTGTGATGTCCCCTGGTAATGGCTGTGATGTCCAGGAATGGCTGTGATGTCCAGTAATGGCTGTGATGTCCAGGAATGACTGTGATGTCCAGGAATGGCTGTGATGTCCAGTAATGGCTGTGATGTCCAGTAATGGCTGTGATGTACAGGAATGGCTGTGATGTCCCCAGTAATGGCTGTTGCTGTCCAGGAATGGCTGTGATGTCCAGAAATGGCTGTGATGTCCCCAGTAATGGCTGTGATGTCCAGTAATGGCTGTGATGTCCCCAGTAATGGCTGTGATGTCCAGTAATGGCTGTGATGTCCAGTAATGGCTGTGATGTCCAGTAATGGATGTGATGTCCCCAGTAATGGCTGTGATGTCCCCAGTAATGGCTGTGATGTCCAGTAATGGCTGTGATGTCCCCAGTAATGGCTGTGATGTCCAGTAATGGCTGTGATGTCCCCAGTAATGGCTGTGATGTCCCCAGTAATGGCTGTGATGTCCAGGAATGGCTGTGATGTCCAGTAATGGTTGTGATGTCCAGTAATGGCTGTGATGTACAGGAATGGCTGTGATGTCCCCAGTAATGGCTGTGATGTCCAGGAATGGCTGTGATGTCCAGTAATGGCTGTGATGTTCCCAGTAATGGCTGTGATGTCCAGTAATGGCTGTGATGTCCCCAGTAATGGCTGTGATGTCCAGTAATGGCTGTGATGTCCCCAGTAATGGCTGTGATGTCCCCAGTAATGGCTGTGATGTCCAGGAATGGCTGTGATGTCCAGTAATGGCTGTGATGTCCAGTAATGGCTGTGATGTCCAGTAATGGCTGTGATGTACAGGAATGGCTGTGATGTCCCCAGTAATGGCTGTTGCTGTCCAGTAATGGCTGTGATGTCCAGGAATGGCTGTGATGTCCAGTAATGGCTGTGATGTCCAGGAATGACTGTGATGTCCAGGAATGGCTGTGATGTCCTGTAATGGATGTGATGTCCAGTAATGGCTGTGATGTCCAGTAATGGTGAACAAATAGCACTAAGGTCTATTGTGATTGTTCAACAATGGACAAAACCTATTTTGTTGTAATTTTCACAATAATAAAAACATTTTCTGAATTTAAAGTTTATATTCCTACAGGTCTAATTTATGATTACCAGACAACACTGACAATAATTTCATCTCTTACCTTTTCCAATCCTTACAATACTATCTTCCTTCCCAGAGTAGAATCCCCCCTTTTATTAAGATTTACCTCTAACATCTCCACCAGCACAGAAAGCTTTATCTCCTGCACCTTTTATAATCACCATTTTTGTTTTCGGATCATTTTCCCACTCCTGAAATATAAATAATGAATTCAACAAATAAATATCTACTGATATATTTCAGTTATGAAAACTTTGTGTGATGATTCTACGATCTAGGCTGAAAACTGTCAGAGAAGTGGAATACGCAAAATTGGTACAGTCTTCTGCAAATTTTCCTGAAAAAATGACAAAGTTCTCAAGTCATGAAAAAATGGGAAAAAAATCATCAAACAAAACAATAATATCAGGTGAAAGACTCTAATATGTTTGCACTCTTTCTGTAACGTTTGAAGAATCTGGGTTGAAAACCGTAGAAGGAATTGATTACACAAAATGGGCACTGTTCCCAAGTCTGGGAAAATGGGAAAAAAATCCTCAAACAATTTAATATTAGCATGTGAACAACTTTAATATGCATAATCTTTCTGTCAAGTTTCAGGGATTTAGTTGAAAACTGTAAGAGGAGTTGAACAGGAACCTGATGTTCCCTGCCTATCCACAAGACACCACAATACAGTTAGCTGGTTTTACACTTCCCAGTCCAACACAACAACAATTTTAAGATTTCAACATCCAGTGTTCAACAACACATAGGTGTTTATTGTCCATACAATGTGTAAAGCTCTAAATTAGTTAAATCATTCTAAATTAAATGTGCTATTTCCAAAACATTCTGTGAAAATTGGTACATGTACTCAAAAAATAAAAGAACTCTGGCAAGGGATAACAATGTAACGGTGTGTAAACTTACTGTTAAAACAGGAAAGATCTTTCTGATCATGGATAAATTCAAGGCATTTAAAGCTTTTGGTCTGTTCAGGGTTACAACACCTTTAGTGTCAATCTTCTGGAATAAAACTTCATCTGAGGCTGATGTACACATATTAGCTGTTATCTTCTACAAAATAGTGTATAACATCAAGTATTAGGATTATACGTTTCAACTTGTGTAACTCACTTATCTATATCAACACTTTGTAAAATAAATGGGGAATGTGTCCATGGGACACAGATGATGCCCATGCTTGCATATGGAATAGGATCCCAGTTACGGGATACCAGTCCAGTACCCACGAATGAAGTCCCTTAATAAATCTACCATCTTTTAAATGGGATATTGTACCGAGATGAAAATTATGAAAGATGCTTAAATTTGTAGTATATCTAAAGGGTATTCATTAAACTTTCAACTTCTGTTAAATTTCCAGTGATTCTGAAATGTATAGGGTGGATGATTGTCTGAGTAAATGGTACAAATTTTATTTTCCGATTTTAACCAGGAAGTTAATAAAATGACCCTATTAATACTCAAAACAGTATTGCTCTCTTAAATGCCAGTCATGACCTTCCAAGAATTCTCCCAGAAACCATGAAGGGGCTACTAGTATGAGAAAGTAATTTAAATTTTGCAGTCTAATATAGGGAATAAAAAATCTGCCCCTCAATTTGGATAAAATTGCATTGAAGTAATGGGGGAAATAATTGGGTCCCCGTTCCATATCATATAAAGCTATAAAGGGAAATAACTGAAGAATGGTAAAAGTGACGCTACCCAAATTTGTACTTGATCTGAGTTTTGTAGTAATAAGTACTGTGTATAAGTTTCATAACATTTCGTTGAGGCCAACTTAAGTTAGAGAACGGAAAAGAATTTTCAGCAATTTTTCCATTTGTAAAGGGGCGTAACTCTGAAACAGTAAAAGTGATGCCACCAAAATTCAAACTTGATCTGTATTTTGTGGTAATAAGCATTGTGTATAAGTTTCCAACATTTGGTTGAGGTAAACTTAAGTTGGAGAACAGAAACGAAAAATTCAGCAATTTTTCTATTTGTAAACGGGCATAACTCTGGAACGGTTAAAATGACACCACCAAAACTCACACTTGATCTGTATTTTGTGATAATAAGCATTGTGTATAAGTTTCATAACATTTGGTCGAGGCAAACTAAATCTAGAGAACGGAAACAAAAAATTCAGCAATTTTTAAATTTGTAAAGGGGCATAACTCTAGAACGGTTAAAGTGACGCCACCAAAATTCAAACTTGATCTGTGTTTTGTGGTAATAAGCATTGTGTATAAGTTTCATAACATTTGGTCGAGGCAAACTAAATTTAGAGAACGGAAACAAAAAATTCAGCAATTTTTGTAAAGGGGCATAAATGTAGAACGATTAAAGTGACACCACCAAAATTCAAACTTGATATGTGTTTTGTGGTAATAAGCATTGTGTATAAGTTTCATAACATTTGGTTGAGGCAAACTAAAGTAAGGGAACGGAAACCAACTTTGGGATGTATGGATCTACGGACGTACAGACGGACAAGGGTATAACTTAATGCCCCCTCCGCTATGGTGGGGGCATAAAAAAAAATTTCAAAAATGAAATCACTGTACTTACCTTCCTTTCTTTTTTTATTCAAGAAGGCAGGGAAAAGTTATTGTTTTTGGGGAGAGGGCCTTTTAAAGATATGTGAATAAACAGTGTGCACGAAAAAAGGTCATTCCACCCCAGCAAGATCATTAAACAGCTGCAAGACATTAGAGCAATCATTGACTATAGCTAACGTGAGGGTACCCAAATTGCACCTATTTTGACAGTTTTTCACCTACATTTATTTATGATCCAGACAAAAGTTTCCATTCTGGGTTATTTTGTAGATGTAAATTTATTTTCTATATAGTTCCACAAATTTAATTTTGAATCCATATTGAATCATAGAAAAATGGGATTGAACCGACCTCCAAACGATCCATGATTCTGTAATGAGGAGTACCCAAATTGCATCCATGCTTAAATTCACATCTATATCTACATATAATTAGCTATGTTGAAAGACGTGCATAATGTCAAATCATAAAAATACAAATTGTTTAGTCTCTAAAAAAAAAATGGAAAGATTTATGCTGCTTTTTTTGCTAAATAGGTGCAATTTGGGTATTGTGGTGTTAAATACTGTGTAGATTTGGCTGAGAAGCAGAAAATACCAATTTTAAAGTGAAATGCTTCTCTGGAACCACTTTAACAGGTATCGAACACATTTCTTAATGTTATCTTTAAAAGTGGATGTCATACAATTTCCTGCTGTACAGGCCACATGACAAAATAATATTTCTTCAAAGTAGTCTTGACTTTGTTTTAAAAATACATTTATAGCAATTTTGTAATTTTTACATTGTTGTGATCTAGAAACAAATTTCCCGCAATCTTTTCCACTGTTCATGATCCTTTAGGACTAAAACTTTTCACATGTAACAATATGACTAAAATCAGCTGTTCAGGATCAGGAAATTACTCTCTCTCCAGATCTAGAGAAGCAAACCTAATAGCTGATATTTCTGTCAAGTTAAATAAAATTGAGAATGGAAATGGGGAATGTGTCAATGAGACAACAACCCGACCATAGAACAGACAACAGCAGAAGGTCACCAACAGGTCTTCAATGCAGCGAGAAATTCCCGCACCCGGAGGCGTCCTTCAGCTGGCCCCTAAACAAATATATATACTAGTTCAGTGATAATGAACGCCATACTAAACTCCTAATTGTACACAAGAAACTAAAATTAAAAATAATACAAGACTAACAAAGGCTAGAGGCTCCTGACTTGGGACAGGCGCAAAAATGCGGCGGGGTTAAACATGTTTATGAGATCTCAACCCTCCCCCTATACCTCTAGCCAATGTAGAAAAGTAAACGCATAACAATACGCACATTAAAATTCAGTTCAAGAGAAGTCCGAGTCTGATGTCAGAAGATGTAACCAAAGAAAATAAACAAAATGACAATAATACATAAATAACAACAGACTACTAGCAGTTAACTGACATGCCAGCTCCAGACTTCAATTAAACTGATTGAAAGATTATGTCTTCATCATATGAATATCAGGCACAACCCTTCCCGTTAGGGGTTTAGTATCATACCATCATAACATATATGAGAAGAACATAAACCGTGTCATGCCAACAACTGGTTTTTAAATAAATGTGTTAAACCTGTTAAATTATTTGATATTTTGATTCCATGTGACATCTCTGACAAAACTATAGTTTTTCTAAATATATATATAATACATACCACATGTTTGATAACAACAGTTAGTCTTTGAACAGATCTAAAAGGTAAAATAAAAATACCAATAATTATAATAACTTGCATTTTGAATCTTTTCTGCTGGTACTTTCAGCATGTTCAGAATTTAAAACAAATGTATAAACAAGCTAATGTCTCAAATATCAAAATTTGCTTTGTGATATTGTTAAAAGTAGATTAAATTGCTAAGAATTATATAAGTGTATATTACTATAGAGCTAGAAATTATTCTTTTTTCTTTTTCTTTACAGATGCTAATTTGAGTAGAAACTGAGATAAAAAGTAATTGGTAAAAGTATGGATGTGTATAAACAGACAGATTTAGTCACATGTATGATCTTGTATACTGTGGGTATGTTTGGTTCTATTTAAGGAATGACTGTAATATTTTTACAGTCTATGAAGAAACATCAAAAATGTAGTGCACACTGAATAACCTGCGTAGCGTGTTATTTTAAAGTTATTTTTTTATGTAATTTCGAATAGACAGAATAAGTATTACAGTCATTTCTTATAATTTAATTCTAAATTCCATTTTAAACCAGAGTAAACCATGAAAAAACGTTGATGATGTCACGGTCACATGACAAAATTATGTCTATGAGCTGATAAACAAAACTAACGTCAGCCAATCATAAGACGTGTTACATCCAAAATTTAATTATTGTTCAATAAACATGATAAAAGAAAAAAGTACTCACTTTCTCAACATTTCCAGATCTTTTCTGTTTTCTTCTAAAAGGCAAAATAATACAATAAGTTCATAGATAATCTGATCATAAAAGTTCGTGTATTGTATTTTTTATTATGAGACATTTATAAGGCTGACTATTTGATTAATGAACTCATATTTAAAATCTAATACCTGAATTAAAGACTTTTGTTCTTTCTAATTAATATTTCTACAGAAATAACTTACTGATTATGTGATAATTAGAACTTCCCCATGCAGGGCCTCACATTAAATGTATATAACAATTCCACCCTAGTTTTGCTCCACAAACATATTTTGTAGTTGAGATTTGAACACATATATTTCTCTCTCAAATTCTGTGTGCATTTAAACTGGATCTGACCAGTTTGATTTATTTTGATTCACAACAAGTTGATAAAATTGGTCATGTGTAATTTACCCCCATAACTATTTGGAACATTGCTCTTGCCATTTAACATTGAATCATCAAAGAAAAAAGATTCTAACACTTTACCTGCATAAGCCTGCATGTTGATTTTAATTTGTAAAATGTATTTCAAGTTTAAAATTCAATATCTTGAGGGTGTGGTAGAATCTTAAGAGCAAGCACTGCTAACAGTGACAAAGCAGAAATAAATGTGGATAGTGTCCACATGTGGACACAGATGATGCCCCCGCTTGCATATCATATAGTTATAAAGGGACATAACTGAAGAACGGTAAAAGTGACGTTACCCAAATTTGAAGTTGATCTGAGTTTTGTGGTAATAAGCATTGTGTGTCAGTCTCATAACATTTGGTTGCGGCTAACTTAAGTAGAGAACAGAAACTAAAAATTCAGCAATTTTTCTATTTGTAAACAGCATAACTCTAGAATGGTTGTGTATAAGTTTTATAACATTTGGTTGAGACAAACTAAAGTTTGAGAAAGGAAACGAAAAATTCAGCAATTTTAATGTTTATAAAGGGACATAACTCAAGAATGGTAAAAGTGTTGCCACCAAATTTCGTACTTTATCTGTATAATGTAGCAATAAGCATTGTGTATAAGTTTCATAACATTTGGTTAAGGCAAACTAAAGTTAGAAAACGGAAACAAAAAATTTGTTCTTGATCTTAGTTTTGTGGTAATGAATATTGTGTATAGGTTTCATAATGTTTGGTAGGGGCAAACTTAAGTTACAGAATGGAAACTAAAAATTTTGCAATCTTTCGAATTATAAAGGGGCATAACTCAATAATGGTTAAAGTGACACTACCCAAATTCAACTTGATCTGAGTTTTATCAGTGGAAGTCAAAATTAAACATTGCATTGTATAAAGCATTGATTGTAGTTGATTCAACTATAATCATGGACAAAGGAAGATAACTCCAATTTTAAAAATTACTTGATATTTAGAAGAAAATAAAAATTTTGCAATTTTTCCATTTATAAAGGGGCATAACTCTAGAACGGTTAAAATGACGCCACCAAAATTCAAACTTGATCTGTGTTGTGTGGTAATAAGCATTGTGTATAAGTTTCATAACTTTTGGTTGAGGCAAACTCAAGTTAGAGAACGGAAACCAATTTTGGGACGTACGTATGTACGTACAGACGGACAAGGGTAAAACTTAATGCACCCACTGCTACTACGGGGGCATAAAAACGAAAAGAAACTTCACTAAAAGTTTACCTAAAAATAAGATGCCTGAAATCTGAAAATGAATTGTATGTACCTCTAATATCTTTCCATATCAGCATTCAAAAAGAATCTTACTGATCAATTTCATAAACCAGTCACTGTCAGAAATTCATCTTTTTTTTCATAAATGTTCTTTATAAATCAGGATTTTTATTTCAATACTGTTTTTCATGACAAGGGTTTAAAACTTAAAGTATGTTTAAGCACCATAGATCCTAAATCATCCTTTTTTGCAACAAAAGAGACCTCAAGAGTACATGTACATATTTTGAAGCAATTTTTCATGGAAAATATTTGATATAACTTGAAATTAAAACAATGACATGTTTTTAAGGTTTTAAACATTTTATATTGTTATAAAGACAATCAGATTTATACAATAAACTGCTTCGCTTAGCGCAGCTGGATATGACCGCAGAGGTCCAACCCTGAACAGTAAGGGCAAAAATGGACACAATATTCAAGCTTGATACAGGTCTGAATTTGGATTGTAATTAAATATTTGACACATTATAGGTTTCTGACACAGAATAAATGTAGTCAAAGAACTTGAAATTGGTTATATGATTTGAATTTATATTCAATTGAAGATTTCTTGCTTTTTTGCAATACACTGTGCTGTTGCGCAATACTTAGTAAATCTGTTTTCAGACTATATACAAAGAATTAGCATAATAAATTGTGACCACAAATTTTTTCTTTGGAAAATTGACCCCCCAAAAAAATATGTTTTGCCCCCCTCCTTTAAAAAAAAAAAAATTTGAAGAAATTTTCTATATGTAAAATGTGATACAACTTAAGAAAAATGAATACACTTAAACACAAGTTATTGCCTAAATATTAAAAAAATGCTTGTTTTAGACCCTTTTTGGCCCATAATTCCTGGATGGTTTGGGCAACTACCCCCAAAATGAATCCCAAACCTTCTACTTGTGGTATTGAACCTTGTGGTATAGTTTCAGAGCAATTACAATACTTATACACAAGTTATTGTCCTGAAACTAGAAAAATGCTTGTTTTGGCCCCCAAAAACAATCCCAACCTTCCTTTTGTGGTATTGAACCTTTTGGTTAAATTCTATAGAGATCCGTAATTCCGTACACTTAAACTAAAGTTATTGTCCGGAAACCAATGTCTTCGAACGACGACGACATGATAGCATTATACGACTCCAAAATTTTTTTGACGGTCGGTCGTATAAAAACCACATGATTCCTGTGATTTTTTTAATTAAACAATACCGTACATGTACATGTATTGGTGAAAAAAAATGTTACATGAAGATAGTGTTTCTTTATTTACATTGAAAATGATGGCATAAATAAAATTCCCAATAACAGGACCAACATCATCTTCATTTCTGTATTTTAGTTACTTTTCAACAGAGATTATGCTGATCTATGCTATGAATTCTTTTTTTTTTCTGCAATATACACTTTGTATGGTAAATAAGCTCAAAAGTTACTAATTTTTTTTAAATGAAAGTTTTTTTTTGCATTAAATAAAATTTGTAAAATATAAAAATAACTAATGCTATTCATTGATAGCCTTAGTAATAAGTTTCAAAATGATTTTTATAACTGTAGATTTAATTTAACAAAAATCAGTATTTAAATGGTTATTTCTACTTCTATGAATTTCGTCCTCTTTCACAGATAACACCTGTCTCATATTACAAACTATTTTCCATTTATGCAACAGTGTAAGCATGCAGTCTTTTTTAAATGATCCTGCAGTCATTATCTGTGACTTTGTATTACCTTGCTCCTGATAAGAAAATACATAAATTTTCTTGAAAGAGGAGAAATTAGTACCTGCTCCAATTCCTCATCATTTATGCGTTTAAATAAAGTAAAAATATATGTTAAAGAGCAAGTTTGTGTTGATTAAGATTGCAAAATTTACAATGGCAACAACATGGAAAGATTTTCTTGACCAGACCGAAAAGCCAGATAAATTTGACGAGAAATCAAAAGAAATAATCGAATTTGTAAATTTTCAACTGCGTTCAAAACGCCACATAGTTCTTGTCACAGTATGTTTTGATGTTAACTATAAATGACTCAAAGGTCAAAGTTTATTATACAAATACTATTATAGTACAATTTACAAATGCATTACATTGTATTTCGTTATTGCATTATAAGGCTCACACCATAGGCACTTGTTGCATGCAATGGTGAAGGCAACCTCCTTCTTTGGAAAGAAAGAGGGAAGAGGTCTTTTCCGGTGCATGTGGCTCATAAATGTCAAATGACATAATTTACAATCTAACGATTTGCCAAAAAGAACTGTAAAAGACATATAAAACAATACAGTAGTGTCCGGTAATTCCGTCTGTCCGGTAAACCCGCCCACTCCCATTTACTTTAGTAATTGTCACTTCCGTGAATATTTCGTCTGCTATTTTAATTTATATTCATAGGAACTGTACTTATCATAACTGCATGTCAAATATTAAAGAAAAATCCTTTATTACGAAAATATTTAGTAATATATACATGTATAATACAGTTCCTAAAGCTAACGATAATCTATTATTGCTTACAAAACTTGTTTCTGCCTTGAATTTTTTTTTTTTTTTTATTGTCTGGAATCCCTTTATAAGTGGCCATGGTTTATTGAGAGATCACCTTTTCCTTTCATAAATATGTGATCAATTGGCCCTCCATACATATTTACTGTCCATGGGCGGATTTACCGGACAAACACATTTCCGATAAAAACATGGATGACCCACTTGTTTTATTGATTTTGAAATTTATTTCAGATATTTTTTGGGAAATGAGATAAACTACTCAAAGTTGATTTGTCAGTGAATCGATTTAGGTTAAATTTGATACAATTTGTATATAATTAAGCAGAAATACTTATGGTCAAAGCCTTATGTGGGCAGATTTACCGGACAGCATGGTAATATTAGGATTAATTAATCTCACAATTTCGTCCATTATACATCATTTACATAGATCGCAAGAATAAATGCAACCATTAATTTCTGAATTTACAGTATTTATAAATGAAAACAAGAAGTATGGTGCAGTCAGGTGAGACTTTTCCTCCACATACAGAAGACTTTTTGTTTCACTTTGGTAAACTCATGCATAAAACCAATAATCAGATAATATTGTATGAACAAATTCATGACATACTTTAATTTCATGAAATCTTCTTTATGTATGGTTTAATTTTTATCCTTAAGATTTTGTGTGATATGTGTATCCAAAAATTAGGGAAACCCCTGTTTAGACAGTTTTTCAAATGTCCGGTGATTTCGTGCATGCCTTCTAAAGATAGCTAATTTTGAATAAAGGAAAGATCTTATACTTCAAAAATTAAATATAGTTCAGTTTGACTGCCAAGGATGCGGAGCAAAGTTTATTTATGTAATGTTGATAAAATGTTACTTAAAATGAAACCTATTTTATCTGATGATGTAACAATTTTTTATGGAAAATGGCTAAATATTGTTAATCATGAGATTTCAATTATAAATTAATGCTTGAACTTATCACTATTAATCTTTTTTGTCCCTTTGGAAGACTTTAACAATTACAAGAACGATTCTATTTGTGTTACATTGCCATTATGACGAAATCAGGTAATGCATGATATCACTAGCCGCACGTACACTGGGGACTCCACTGTACCAAAAATATGGGACAGTACAAATATTACTAGTGGCCCCCTGGATTACAAAAATGTATCATACATATTATACCTGAGTGGCAGTTTTATTACAGAAAAAGCATTGCAAAACAAAAAATAGTGAAAAATGGCAATTAAAAATCCCGGATCTTAATTAAATGACTAAAGTTATTTCTTTAAAAAAAAAAAGTCTTAATTAAGTGACTAAAGTTATTTCTTTAAAAAAAAAAACATTTCTAGACCTTCATCCAAATATGACATATCAAACCGGTTTCAGTCGTGTCTGGCAAATATCCTTGATTACCACACAAACCACCAACATGACCAACACACCACTACTCTGATCATGACCAACACACCACTACTCTGATCATGACCAACACACCACTACTCTGATCATGTTGATGGTCAGTTCTATATTTAAATAACATTTACTCAATTTATTACTAATGATTATTTTTATTTCAGAGTGGTGGAACAACTGTACCACTAGAGAGTAAAACTGTGCGTTTCCTTGACAACTTCAGTGTGGGATCCAGAGGTGCCTTATCTACAGAGTAGTACTTTATTCATTTCTTAATATGTAAAATACCATATTTCATTTTGAAGATCTTACTTTAATAGGACCCAGGCCATAGTTAATTCACTTTATTCCTGGTCTAAAAATACATACTGAGTTCCTATACATTTGTAGAAAGACAACATATCATATTCCAAGCCCCCTTTGGTTCCTTTTTGAATAAAAATACAAATGTACTAAAATATGCAATGCATTCAATAAACATTTGGCTACATGTTACCTAACAGTTTGGTCTAAAAATGTCTTCCTTGAAATGATTTGTATGTGCATATTGATAAGTCTTCAAAATCTTAGATCAGTTTACAGTATTGGCTCTCCATTTTTGTCTTTAAACCTTTGTCAATATTGTATACACCTAATATTTATCATAGTATTAAAACATTTTTGCTTAAATAAAAGAAGATGTGTGAATACACCAATGAGACAGCAACCTAACAACACAATAATCTAAAAGTCATTTAGTAGTCAACGTGCAGTCTACAACAGAAGACTAGTCAATATGTCAAGCTCTAAATTGATGTGAGTCAATTAAAAGGTAGGAAATGAATTATACAGAAACAAGAAAAGATCTGCTTTGACACCTAATTCCCAAAAATTACTAAAAAACATTAAGACAAGAAAAAGGTAAACCACAAACAAGGTTCCTGACTTGGGAAAATAACATGATTATATGGCTGGGTTAATGTCAAGATGCTTTGGGTGTGACAAAGCAAAAAAAACTCAGCAGCTTGCTGCCAAAGGAACATTTATGGCTTCTACACACAAAACTTGTTTACTGTGTAGAACGTCAATGGTCCATTGTAATGTCACAATATAGTCAGGCACTGACGAAGTCAAAAGATGGCACCAAAAGGACGATATTGGCGGAATTGAAGTAAACTGGGTTCAATGTGTTTTTGAATACTTAAAATGAATGTAGTATTTTGAGAACCTTCCCAACTGAAAAGTCTTGGGATTGATTAAATTAGAGAAGATTGATGTATAAAAGTAACAGATATACACTTAAAACTGAAATTTTATCATTAATTGTAAAACAAAATAAATGGCTCGATTGATTGCTACTTAAAGTCCAACAGCAAATATTTCATACCATTCAGCACAATAAACATTTCAATAAGATGTTAATACAGTATATTTCCTACTTTTTACAATATCAACACACAGTCTGCAGGAAAGCATATCAACTTATCCACTTACATGACTTATATTATTCTGTCTATGATCTACCCAGTCCCTGCTCTTGCTCCTAAATGTAGCTTGCTTGACGACCCATGACCCACTGCACTCAAGGCAAGACCCCTAAGAAGAGACCATTTAATTAAGGCAGTTGTAAAATGAAATGAATTCATTAAAACTACTTTGCCATCAACTTGAAGATTTGAAATTAATCTTCCTTAATTACTCTTTCCTTTGTTGTGCAATAAAAAATATATAAAATTAAATATGATTAATAACAGATGTTAGTTTATGTTCTAGGAAGAGATATGATTCTGAATTTGTAGACACTGTATATAAGCTTTGCATGAGCTGCAAATTATAATTGCAGGTATTTCTTAAAGAGAGGTTATGCTGTGATATTCCTTACAAGAAACAGAGGGTTACGTCCATTTTTGAGACATGTACCAAAAACAAATATTTTAGACTTGTTAACAATAACAGACAGCAAAGATGTAAAAGGTAAGAGCTTTTAGGGGGATAAGTTTAAATGGAGAAGTTGAAAGTCAAATTTTCTTCAAATCCATTAAACTTTCAAAGGAAAAGGTATGACAAGACCACATTTTTTACACCTTGAATTTAAAAATCAAAAAGTATGGTATATCTATGAAATAATATTCTTCATTAAAAAAAATCTCTTTTGTTATCAGTAATTGCAATTTTAAACTCCCTAAAATAAAAATTTGGTAGCATAAAGTTCTTGCTTTGTCTTCCCCTGTTGACATAAAAGAAATGGAGAGATAACTTTTAATTTTTGGGTCAATAGGTTAAGTTCAAGGTTACTTTAACTAAAAAAACAGATTTTTTTATCTAGATGATAACTTGGATGTTTGTTGTTTTGAAATGAAACTAATATAAATGAAAGACATCCGAAAGGAGAAAACCCTATTAATTTTGAGGTCAAAGGTCAAATTTACAGCTGCTTAACATAGACCAAAACTATGACTACTGTGGATTCATTATTATTCGTTGGATACCAATTTTCGTGGATTTCGTGGGTACAGGTGAACCACGAACTTAAATGTTCAACGAACTGCAAATTTTCTATAGGGCTGTATGCAGACTTTGGCAAAACCACGAAATCAAATATCCACGAAAATGCAGGTTTTCATCAATCCACGAAAATTGGTACCCACGAAAATAAATGAATCCACAGTATTAGTAGTAAGAAATTCTTTAAATCTTTTTTTCTAGATCTATTCATAAGAGGTTTGGTTCATACTACCTGTAATTTCACTGAATTAATTTTTTATACGACCGCAATCGTATATTGGTATGACGTTGTCGTCGTCGTCGTCCGAAGACACATTGGTTTCCCACTATAACTTTAGTTTAAGTGAATGGATCTCTATGAAATTTTACCATAAGGTTGAATACCACAAAAGGAAGGTTGGGATTGATTTTGGGGGTTATGGTACCAACAGTTAAGGAATTAGGGGCCAAAAATAAGCATTTTCTAGTTTCCAGACAATAACTTGTGGAACGGTGTATGGATCTCTCTCAAATTATACCACAAGTTTCCATACCACAAACGAATGGTTAGGATTTGCTTTGGGGGGTTATGGCTCAAACCGTTAAGGAATAAGGGGCAAAAAAGGGGGAAAAACAAGGTTGTCCTGGTTAATGGACAAATACTTTAGTATGAAACATAATTTAAAGCAGTGTATAAGGGAGATAAATCAAATACATTATTTGAATTACTTCCGTTACACTGCTTTTAAATTATATATAAAGTAATGGTTAATGAACAATTGAGACAATTTAAAACAGTGTAAGGGAGGTAATCCAAATACAACGTTTTGATTACTTCCCTTACACTGCTTTTAAATTATGTTTAAAGAAATGCATATTTATAAAGGAAGACCAGTAAAAATATCTGCAAATGTTGCATCTTTATTTTTTTAGAAAAAAATCCGTATGAAAGATTTGACACCATATTTTAAATTCTATTATAAAATAGATTAAGTTAGCACTATGGTAAATTTAAATGGGTAATTATGGTTGCAAACTCCATTGGAAATTTGAATTGAGATTATGACCATATCTTGAGGGAAAGAATTTTTTTGGGGAAAAAGGGGGGGGGGGGGGTAAAAAGAAATTGTGGGGGGTCAATTTTTTCTATTTCAGATTTCAGAAAATTAAAAAGAATTATTCTTCAAATATTATTTTTTTTTCAAATTTCAAATTTCAAGAAGTAATCTTTAATTGCACAGTATGGCACATTACATTTGTAAAATCTTTGACCACATTTATTTATTTGTTATGCCGAATCTGACCGTGTATTTAGATTTTAAATTTTGGGTCCAGTTTTCAAATTGGTCTACATTAAGGTCCAAAGGGTCCAAAATTAAACTTAGTTAACAAAAATTGAATATATGGGGTTCTTTGATATGCTGAATCTAAACATGTATTTAGAATTTTGATTTTGTGCCCAGTTTTCAAGTTAGCCCAAATTGGGGTCCAAAATTAAACTTTGTTTGATTTCAACAAAAATTGAATATATGGGGTTCTTTGATATGCTGAATCTAACCATGTATTTAGATTTTTTATTTGTGGGCCCCGCTCTTAATTTGGTTGATATTGAGGTCAAAAGGGTCCAAAATTAAACTTTGTTTGATTTCATCAAAAATTGAATTATTGGGGTTCTTTGATATGCCAAATCTAACCGTGTATTTAGATTTTTAATTTTGGGTCCCGTTTTTTAAATTGGTCTACACTAAGGTCCAAAGGGTCCAAAATTAAACTTAGGTTGATTTTAACAAACTAATTGAATTCTTGGGGTTCTTTGATATGCTGAATCTAAATATGTGTTTAAATTTTTTATTATGGGCCCAGTTTTCAAGTTGGTCCAAGTTGGGGTCCAAAATTAAACTTTGTTTGCTTTCAACAAAAACTGAATATATGGGGTTCTTTGATATGCTGAATCTAACCATGTATTTTGATTTTTGGGCCCCGTTTCAAATTTGTCCACATTGAGGTCAAAAGGGTCCAAAATTAAACTTTGTTTGATTTCATCAAAAATTGAATTCTTTGGATTCTTTGATATGCTGAATCTAACCATGTATTTAGATTTTGGATATTGGACCATTATAGGTAAATTAAAAAAAATTAAGTTCTAAGACCACAGTCATTCTGTGTCAGAAACCTACTCTGTGTCAAATATTTAATCACAATCCAAATTCAGAGCTGTATCAAGCTTGAATGTTGTGTCCATACTTGCCCCAACTGTTCAGGGTTTGACCTCTGCGGTCGTATCAAGCTGCACCCAGCGGATCATTTTATTATTAAGATGCAATGCCACATCTTCTAGTTGCATGCAAAATGCATAAAAGTTCAAGAGATTCTCATTTTACAACTTCTTAAATGTTAAAAGGACAAATATTCAAAACCATAGAACTTGACATTTAATATAGATGGGACATTATAAGTGAAGCATAAGATTCTCTTGTCCTTATAATCTAACATGGAGATTTTGAGAAGTTGTAAGGTATGCACGTTTGAATTGTTTTATTTGCCTACAATTTGAGAGACGACACAAAAGAATAAAATTGACCACAATATAAAAATAAGGAGATGTGGTGTGATTGCCAATGAGACAACTATCCACCCAAGTTCAAATGAAGTGGATGTAAGCAATTATAGGCAAGCGTACAGCCTTCAGCAATGGGGAAAACCCCATACCGTATAGTTGGCTATAAAAGGCCTCAACATGAAAAATATGAAACTATTCAATTGAGAAAACTAATGTATAATTTATAACAAAACAATTTACGAAAAACAAGTATGACAGACATGAACCAATGACAACCACTGAACTACAGGCTCCTGAATTGGGACAGGCACTTATTAAAAGAATGTATGTTTAATTAAAAGATGGACTATTTTGTATATCTTGATGATCTAACAATTCCTGACAATTCAGCTGACAAAATCATATACCAAATTTTCTTATTTTGATATTTATTGTAAAGGAAAATTAAAAGTAGCAGTAATGAAAGCTTTGATAAATTCAAAGTACTTAAATAACCATAGAGGTTATCCAATTACTAGCAATCAATAGTTCTATCCTTTTTTGACAAAAATTTAATTACAGGTATGATATATTTTACATTCATACTATAGAGTAAATGGGAAAACCAGATAATATATTTCATAATTTTTATACATCTACATGTGCTTGTTTTTATACTTAACAGTCAAACCAGAATATGAACAAAAAATTCAACAAATTTTGCAGACTTATCAGGAAATAAAAAATGAGAATTTATTACTGACAGTAGAATTTCAGACATTAAGTGACTATCTACAGTTACTAAAAACTTGTTCTATTGCTCTACAACCAGCAGGGAACCAGGCTGTGTTATATTTAGCTGCTGCTGTGTCAGACTTCTACATCCCAAAAGATTTAATGGTAACTTATACAACAATATCCAGTAAATTATGTTTTGAGTTTCTCTGATCGAACATCTAATGCACGTAACGAAGGATTTTAAACTCTTTTCTGTTTTTATTGAGATAAAAAAAATGAAAACAACACTTTATAAATTTCATGCGTCCGAAGCACTTTCATGGATTTACCTTCATCAGGAATGCTCTAAGCCAAATATTTGAAAGCCAAGGATTTATAAGATAATTATTCTAAACTGTATTCTTAAATGTATAAGATTGTACTTTAAGCTTGTTTTTTTAAATTCTTTAATGAACCAGGCCATGGTCACAGTAGTTTAAAAAACTTCATTTACATTTTAATGGCATAATTAGATTAACATACAATGGCCATTCTGATGACATGTTATTGTTTCAGCCAGAACATAAAATTCAGTCATCTGGTGGTCCATTGAAGTTATCACTACAACTGGTTCCTAAAATGTTAGAACCATTAGTCAAGGAGTGGGTACCAGATGCTTTTGTTGTTAGCTTCAAGGTAAATTTACTATGTACCGGTATATGTATAAATCATGACTTTATACTGTTACCATTATATACTGGAAGTTATAAATCCGTACACATATCTAGGAAGTACATTTACCTCAGAATACAGGAAATATTTTTTTCTGAATCATTTTATGAAGTTATTTATTCAGGGTAAACAGAGTTAAATAAGATAAAAAGTACCCAATTGAAGACAAAATGAGTTAAACATTGAGAAGTGCAAAAGAATTGGATACACTTGAAAGGATTTGACATTAATGTAAATTGATTCTGAAACAATGTCTTCATATTCATTTTTTTTTCTGAATATTTTGTATTATGTAAAGCATAACATGATTATGATGTACTCGTAATAAAGGTACAGTATTTGCAATAATTAATATAATAAAGAAGATCTGTATGATTTCCAATGAGACAACTATCCACCAGAGATCAAATGACATGGATATAAGCAATTATAGGTCACTTATGGACAATATAGTCGGCAATAAAAGGCCCCAACATGAAAAATGTGAAACAATTCAAACAAGACCAACAGCCTAATTTATAACAATACAATTTACAAAAGCAAATATGACAGACATTAACCAACTAACCCCTAACCTAGGAAACGGTCATGTAAATGCAAAACATAAGAAACTTTAAAAACCAGCTGAAAATGGCTTGACTCAATAGATTGGTACGAAGCCCCCAAAAACACAAATAACACAAAAACAATAGACACAATGCACAGATACAAGAAATATTTCGGTAGATGGACAGAAAGTCACAAATTTGATAGGACAAAAAGTCATTTATAATTTGTTTATAATTGTCTGAACATGCAAGAGAAAGATCTTGAAATAATTTTATTAAATATATACATACAGTTTGGGAAATCGCTGTTACTGAAAGCTAGATCAAGGTGGTTTATCCCTGTCTCATGTTAATATATTTGTCTCTTGTCAGTATAGATTTGTCGTTGTTTTTATTTTGTTATATCTAAATGTTTGTTTCCATTGAGGAATCTATTAGTAAAGTCAGACCTTTGGTTGTCACTATTGAGTTACAGCTTGCCAAGACTAGGGATGATTAGGACTTGATATATGTAGTGTGTAAATGTTTGTTTCCATTGTTGAATACCATATTTTGATTTTATGATATTTATACAACATATATATTAGAATGTTTCAAGTCCCTAGGATGTTCCAGTCGTTACTGTTCTACCATGTATTCACAAAAGAAAAGATTTTAATTGCCTATTTTTGTATTTCTTTTCAGCTTGAAACAGACAAAGATTTATTGATATCCAAAGCATTACAGGCCATAGACAAATATCAACACCAGGTAAAAGGCAAATTGAAAAACAAGAATATAAAGTAGATTCTTTGACCCAAAATCACATGAAACTTTAAATAAAAGAGAAAACTATAGAAATTAGTACTAAACTAAAGATAAAAAAAAATCTGACTCAATTTTGCAATATGACACATAGAACATTTACCAGAAAGTGATACAATTTATGACTTAAATTCCAGATAATATTTTATCCTGTTTTGCAAACACCTTGTTCAGTCTGTCCATTACCTCCAGAGTCCATTCTTTTGTCCATCCATTACTTCCTCAGCCCATTCTTTTGTCAGTCCATCCATTTGTCTGTTTGTTCAATGAATATTTCTGTCACACTTTTCATATTTTATTCTCGATATCACTGCTGGTAGACTGTTTGTTCCCTAGGGTATCATCAACTCAGTAGTCGGTGCTTTTGTACTGGCATGGTATTTAACAAATTTTTCTTGAATTCCCTGTTGATAAATGAAGAAATTACTTAGAAACTATGGTTCCATCTCCCTCAGGCAAAATTGTCCTCAGCCAATAAATTGCTATTCTTTTAGTATAATAGAAAAACTAAGGATATTGGGTATCCATCTGGGACATAAGATCCGTACATGCACAGCAAAAAACACACAAAAAGCCAAGAAACAGTGATTTGATAGGTTCCTCTTGGTCCGATAGCTCCTTACGTTTTTACATATTTATGCATTCCTGGGTTGGAAATGTTTTGATTTGAGTATTCCTGATGAAGGTAAATCTAGAAAAGTGCTTTAGGCACCCAAAACTTATAAGGTATTGGTTTCATTTATTAGCACTGGGTCAATGCCACTGCTGTTTGACTGTTAGTCCCAGAGGGTATCATCAGTTCAGAAGTCTGTGTTTCAGTACTGACATGATTTATACCACTGCTGTTTGACTGTTAGTCCCAGAGGGTAACATCAGTTCAGTAGTCTGTGTTTCAGTACTGACATGATTTATACCACTGCTGTTTGACTGTTAGTCCCAGAGGGTAACATCAGTTCAGTAGTCTGTGTTTCAGTACTGACACGATTTATAACATAAATTTCGGCATTGATAAATTAAGGTTGCAACTCACAGGCAAATTTGAGCAGAGCCGACTTCGGCTACTTTTTTAGGCCCCTTTTGTTCATATAACTCCTAATGTTGCTACATATCCCTGGCTTTCTAATGTTTGAGTTTGAGAATTCTTGATGAAGGAAAATAGAGAAACAAACCAAACTTTGGATGAACAAAATTTATAAGGAATTATTTTCATATAAAGTTTAATGCCATTTTCTATTCATTCATGTAACTTCCTAAAAGTTTTGTTTTATTGTTGGAATATAAGGAGAATGCCAAACTCCGGAAAGTAGTGATAAACTTCATTACATACTGTTTAGATCTTACCCTACTTGACAGTTTTGGAAGTAATCTGACAGCATACATTTTTCTTGTGAAGTGTAGTCAGAAGTGATTTTTGCTTGTTGATGTTAAACAATTACACATTCGCTGCTTACCAATAAGACCTTTTTTTATTGAAAAAGAATATTTGAATAGAGATAAATTTATTCTATTGTTATTGCCAATTTTTGTTTTACTGATGAAAAAGAGCATTTTTATAACCACATCTTAATCCATAGGGTAACATTCAGCAAGAGTAGTTCTATTATGCCATAAAACATACAACTTAAAATTTTTCACATTAAATACTTACTTTTAAAATGTAAAAAAATTAAGAACTAGATAAGTCATTTATGTTATGTTGTTATTTACTTTAGGACATAGATCATTATTTATACTTCCAGATAGTCATTGCAAATTTATTAGAAACAAGAAAGAAAGAAATTTTTGTTGTTACCAAGGAAACACAGGATCGTGTATCATTATCAGATGCAGACATTAAAAATGGCAAAGAAATTGAAGAACTCATTATTGACTGTCTTGTTGATCGTCATTGTCAGTTTTGTTCTGTAGAAAATTTATAATGTTCAAGTATTTAGGTCAACTTAATAGACATTTGTATCCAGACATTTTTAAACTGATGAAAGAAGATGTATAAACAGATTGTGTTAGAATAGAAACAAAACATATAAATAAATAAATGTATAAAGCTCATTTTCATGGTTCAACTACTGCTAAAAAAAAATTATTTTTTCCTCATGTGAATTTCTCACTTATTATGAGTATTTTGTATATGGGTTCCTTGCAAGGTCTATATGTCCATCAGACAGGGTTCACCTGACCTCGACCTTATTTCATGTATCAGAATTTATTTGAGAACAGACCTAATCAAGTAACTTTAACCTTGATCACTAATACATGAAATGCTTCATCTTAGCTTTACCTCATTTTCATAGTTCATTGGTCAATGTTTTTTTATGTCTTGCATTTTGGTCTGTTTCTAAGACACTATAAGCAAAAGGTCAACTTTAGGGTCCTGCTAATACAAATCTGGATATCCCATTTTTTAGCTCACCTGGCCCAAAGGGCCAAGTGAGCTTTTCTCATCACTTGGCGTCCGTCGTCCGTCTTCCGTTAACTTTTACAAAAATCTTCTCCTCTGAAACTACTTGGCCAAATTTAACCAAACTTAGCCACAATCATCATTGGGGTATCTAGTTTAAAAAATGTGTCCGGTGACCAGGCCAACCAACCAAGATGGCCGCCATGGCTAAAAATAGAACATAGGGGTAAAATGTAGATTTTGACTTATATCTCTGAAACCAAACCATTAAGAGCAAATCTGACATGGGGTAAAATTGTTTATCAGGTCAAGATCTATCTGCCCTGAAATTTTCAGATGAATCGGACAACCTGTTGTTGGGTTGCTGCCCCTGAATTGATAATTTTAAGGAAATTTTGCCGTTTTTGGTTATTATCTTGAATATTATTATAGATAGAGATAAACTGTAAACAGCAATAATGTTCAGCAAAGTAAGATCTACAAATAAGTCAACTTGACCAAAATGATCAGTTGACCCCTTAAGGAGTTATTGCCCTTTATAGTCAATTTTTAACCATTTTTCGTAAACTTCTCCTCTGAAACTACTAAGACAAATTTAACCAAACTTGTCCACAATCATCATTAGGGTATCTAGTTTAAAAATTGTGTCCGATGACCCCGCCCGCGAACCAAGATGGCCGACATGGCTAAAAAATAGTACATAGGGTAAAATGCAGTTTTTGGCTCATATCTCTGAAACCAAAGCATTTAGAGCAAATCTGACAAGGATAAAATTGTTCATTAGGTCAAGATCTATCTGCCCTGAAATTTTCAGACCAATCAGGCAACACGTTGTTGGGTTGCTGCCCTTGAATTGGTAATTTTAAGAAAATTTTGCAGCTTTTGGTTATTATCTTGAATATTATTATAGATAGAGATAAACTGTAAGCAGCAATAATGTACAGCAAAGTAAGATCTACGAATAAGTCAACATGACCAAAATTGTTCATTGACCACTTAAGGAGTTATTGCCCTTTATAGTCAATTTTTTTCAATTTTCATAAATTTTTTACAATTTTCATAAATTTTGTAAATTTTTGTAAATTTTTACAAAATATTTTCCACTGTAACTACTGGGCCAAGTTCATTATAGATAGAGATAATAGTAAGGAGCAAGAATGTTCAGTAAAGTAAGATCTACAAACACATCACCATCACCAAAACACAATTTTGTCATGAATCCATCTGTGTCCTTTGTTTAATATGCACATAGACCAAGGTGAGTGACACAGGCTCTTTAGAGCCTCTAGTTTTAATTAATATAACTCAGAATTCCAATATCTACTAGTGGATATTGGAAATCCATTTTGTACTAGGTGGATTCTGGATTCTATTGTCTTTTGAATTCCAATTTGTACTGTAACACATGTTTTGTTTTAATGTATGAGAGATATTAATTTTAACTTGCTTTTAGATGTCTTTACAGAAAAGGTATACAAACTGTAAAAGTTTATCAAATGTGCAGTTAAAAAGCTGTTGTTTTTAAACTCTGGTCAATGATATTTATTTCCCTGCAAAATTCATTACAAAGTGGAAGACCTTTTCACAATGTAATGACTGCCTAAAAACTGTATAGTTTTTGTACGACCACAAAATTTTTTGCGTCCATATTATGTTATGGTGATGTCTGCGTCAGCATCTGAAGACGTTTTGGTTCACAGACAATAACTTGAGTATAAGTGTATGCATCTCTATAAAATTTTAGCACCAGGTTCCATACCACTAAAGGATGGTTGGGATTGTTTTTGGGAGGTATTGTCCTAGGGGTTTTGTAATAAGGGCCAAAAAAGATCAGTTTTACTGGTTCATAGAAAATAAATTGGTTCACAGATAACAACTTTAGTATAAGTGTATGGATCTCTATTAAATTTATGCACAAGGTTCCATACCACAATAGGAATATTGGGGGTTATTGTCATAGCTGTTTAGTAAAAGGGGCCAAAAACAAGCATACTTCATGTTTCAGGACAATAATTTGTGTATAAAAGTATAATACCACACAGTTCCATACTTCAAAATGAAAGTTGGGATTGATTTTTGAGGGGTCATGGCCCAAACCATTTAATAATTAGGTGTCGAAAAAGGGCCAAAAACAACTATTTTTTCTGGTTTGCAGGCAATAACTTGAGTATAAGTGTATGGATAAAATTGAGAATGGAAATGGGGAATGTGTCAAAGAGACAACAACCCAACCAAAGAGCACAAAACAGCAGAAGGCCACCAATGGGTCTTCAACACAGTGAGAAAATCCCGTACTGGGAGGCGGGCTTCAGCTGGCCCCTAAACAAAAATGTGTACTAGTTCAATGAAAATGGACGTCACACTAAACTACAAAACATATAAATGAAATAAAATTAAAAAACATACAAGACTAAAGAAGGCCAGAGGCTCCTGACTTGGGACAGGCGCAAAAATGCGGCTGGGTTAAACATGTTTTGTGAGATCTCAACCCTCCCCCTAAACCTCTATAGCCAATGTAGAATAAACAAACACACATAATATGCACAGTAAAACTCAGTTAAAAAGAAGTCCGATTCCAATGTCAGAATAGGTAACAAAAGAAACTAAGCAAAATGACAATGATACATAAATTAACAAAGGACTACTAACAGTTACTGATATGCCAGCTCCAGACCTCAATTAAACTGATTGAAAGATTATGTCTTCATCATATGAAAATCAAGCACAATCCCTCCCATTAGGGGTTTAGTATCATACCATCATAAAATATATGAGAAGAACACAACCTGTATCATGCCAACAACTGGTTTTAGAATAAATGTGTGTATTTCCAATGCAAAGAACCTAAGATTGAATCAATATTAATACCAAAATATGCCATCATTAATGACCTGTCAACAGTATCGTAACTATATCCCTTCTGAATAAGTCTGTTTAAAGGTTTGGTTAGTTTTTGAGGTGAATGTGACATTTTTGTGCTTTGTATAGAATATTACCATAAAAGATTGGATGTGAAATACCTGAACGTATAAGATGTCTGCATGTTGATTTATATTTACAAATGATGTCCTTGTACCGATGATAAAATTTAGTAAATGTTTTGACTAGTTTGTGATATCGAAAACACTGGTGTAATAATTTTTCATTAATACAAAGCTTTCTTTCGTTAAAATCAAATATGTTGCTACATACACAAGCGAATCAAACAAGTTGAGATATATAAACACCATACGATGGTGACAAGGGAACGTCACCATCTAAAAATGCTTAATTAACAATAGGAAATGAAAAATCATCTCTTTTATCATAAATTTTTGTATTAAGCTTCCTGTTAAAGATATAAATATCAAGATCCAGGAAAGGGCAGTGTTCATTGTTAGTATTAGCTTTATTTAAAGTCAGTTCAGCAGGATAAATCTCTTTATTGTACATACTGAAGTAGTCATTATTGAGAGCCAATATATCATTCAAATATCTAAAAGTGTTATTAAATTTTTGTTGTTTCGATGGGTCTTTGCTGATTTAAGTCATAAATTGTAACTCATAACAATACAGAAACAGGTCCGCAATAAGTGGTGCACAGTTAGTCCCCATTGGAATTCCAATAACTTGACGATATACGGAATCTCAATAGCAAACAAAAATGGTATCTAGTAAAAATTCAAAGGCAGTTATCGTATCAAAGCAAGTCCAATTGACATAGTTCTTTTGTCTGTTGTTACTAAAAATTTCCTCAAAGATTTAGAACATATATATTCGCATTCTGACTTTTTAGATGCCCATTTAATTAGGTGTGTGAATTTTTTCTTAATAAGATTATGAGGCAAAGTGGTATATAGGGTATAAAAATCAAGACTTTGAACAAATTCGAAATCACCAATATATGCATGCAATTTATCAAATACTTCCAATGAATTTTTGACACTCCAAAAGTAATTAATTTCACTATTTTCAAAGGCCTTATTTGAACAATTTATTACCAGGTTTTTGATTGTTCCAAGTGTACTAGTAAGTAGAATAGACAGTTTAGTAGTGGAACAATGGCTTGAAGACGAAATAAATCTATATTTGTAAGGTGTTTTGTGCAGCTTCGGAAGCCAGTACATAGTTTGAACTTTCAATGTATTTGGTTCTGCTTACAAAGAGGTAGCTAAAAGTTTATGTTTGTTACAGATGTCATTTTCTGAAAATGGAGTCAGTTGGAATGTTGGTGAATTCGTGATTTCCTTTTGCAGAAACTCAATGTAAAATTTACGTCAAACAATAATGATATTATTAGCAGCCTTATCAGCCGGGACAAAAACAAATTCCTTGGCGAGTTCTTTTAGCTTATGTTTGATACGAGAAATAGGGCTAATATGGTTGTTGTAAGAAGTAAAATGTTCTTTAAAATGTTTAATACGAATATCAACTATGTTCATTACTGAATTAAAAAAATAATCTAAGGATTTTTTGTCAGCTTTTTCTCGTTTTATCCATTTCGAGCAGTAAGTAAGGAGTGAGTCGTGGATGATGTTACAACACTCATTCCAATTTATATTTGACGGGGGACGATACTTAGTTTATGACCTTTACTTAGAAATGATTTCAGCTCTCGGTCATGAACGATGTTAAGGTCTCCTGTTATAAAATGGGAACTGGAGCCATAAAT